ACTTCTTTACTGTACATGAATGTTTATTATTTTTCTCATCAGTGCTTCATTGTTTTTCTTTTATTAAGAATACAGTCTTTTGAGGTCACTGTCCCATATTTGTATTGTCCTTCTCTAGGTTACTACTCTTCTGTTTCAGAGCTAGAGTCGGAATAGGCAGGCACAAGACAAGACGTGGAGGCTGTGGTTGCAGGGGGTATCTGCTCCTGGGAAGTGGATGCTGTATTAACACTCTCGACTGTTACAGGCTTGCACTCTGTGTGTGGTAGGTCCTTGTTCTCCTGCTCAGCCTCATACACAGTCTCTATTTCCTTCCACTCTGTCGTGCACTGCTCCTCTTGGCAGTCTTTCTCAACACCTTCTATTTTGCTTTTTGTTTCTGGTTTTGGGCCATTCGCCTCACACTTATTTTCCCCTTTTGATCCTCGGCGCACAACAACAAGAGCGAGAGGACTGGTTGGTGGACTTGATGGAGGTTTCGGCCGGATTCCTAATTTCTTTAAGGCACTTCCTGCTGTCTGTTGCTTGACGTCCATTGATTGGGCGAACCAGGAGCGTCTGGCAATTTCTGACCTCTTCTTTTTCTGTCTCTCTTCATAGGCTGTGAACGGAGTAAAAAAACGGTAAGGGCTGTGAAATAAGATCTACTTATCTCTTCTACAAAAAAATTAAAAACATCATATTTCCCTCTATTTTCATTTCTTGTGGTGTATTTACTTACACTCCACACTGCGATATTTAAGTAAAGAGGCCAATTTTCTGTCGTCTTCTGTCTCAGGTAACAGCTTCAAATCCAGAGATGCTTTCCTGAGCAATGCTTGGTCTCTGTCCTCCTCATCCTTTATCTGTTTCTTTTCCTCCTGTGAATCAGCCATTATTAACAATGTAAATGGTTAAACTATAACAGTGATGGCGAACCTTTTTGAGCCAGAGTGCCCAAACCGCAATACATGCCAACCTTTTTTCCCCTCAAAGTGCCAACATGGCAAACCTGAATACTGAGGTTTACATTTAGAAAAAACTACTCGTACAGTTAACAACTTTTGTTTTAAAAGAAAAACACAACATTAAATTATACAAATTTTAAATAATGATATAAATTAAGCTTATATTTATTAGTATCTCCAACAAATGCAATACATACACACAGACTGCTGAACACATTCACACACCGACTGCTTAATACATACACACACCCACACACAGACAGACTGCTTAATACACACACAGGTCGCTAAATACACACACACATACTGCTGAGTACACAGTCTGCTGAATACACAAACACACTGCTGAGTACAGTCTGCTGAGTACACACGCACACATACTGCATTGAGGGGTGCTGTGTGTGTGGGGGGGGGAGAGGGGTGCTGTGTGTGTGTGTGGGGGGGATAGGGGTGCTGTGTGTGTGTGTGTGGGGGGATAGGGTGCTGTGTGTGTGTGTGGGGGATAGGGGTGCTGTGTGTGTGTGTGGGGGGATAGGGGTGCTGTGTGTGTGTGGGGTAGGGGGCTGTGTGTGTGTGTGTGTGTGTGTGTGTGGGGGTGGGGTGCTGTGTGTGTGGTGGGGGGAGTAAGGGTGCATTACATTTTGTAATTTTTTTTTTTTAAACATATTAAATTAGTATCCCCCCCTTTCCTTCTTCTTGGCGTTGGTGATGGGGAGGGAGGGAACACAGTCATCCCTGGTGGTCTGATGGTGGTAAGTATGCAGGACAGGATGACAGGTCCTGCAGCTCTCCTGTCCTCCCGCGCGATGCTGTGTGCAGCGTTGCCATGGTAACGCGCGGCAACACTCCACACAGCTCGCGGGAGGACATGGGAGCTGCTTCCTCGATCCCTCCCTCCTTTTTCCGGTCCTCCTGACAAGAAAGCAGAGTAGGCGTCTGCCGTTTTGGGCAGGCAGGTGCCTACTCTGCATTAATGGCAAACCTGAGGGCACGCGTGCCATAGGTTCGCCATCACTAAACTATAACCATTCAATCTAACTGAATTGGTTATAGTGCCTGGGAGTCCCCTGCCGCTGTCCCTCCATTTCAAGCTATTGGACACTGAATGAAACCCCTACGTAATAATGCTTAGTATTAAAACCAGTTTGATGTTGGATGGAAAGACAGCGCCAGGGGACTCCAGATACTAAAACCACTTCAATGCGATAAAGCAGTCACAGTGCTTAGTGTTCATTTAAATATTATGTGAATTAGGATAACAGGGGATGCAGTACAAAAAGAAAAATGTATACAAACAAAAATGTTTACAGTTGTACTTTTCTTTTTATCTTATGTTACATATGGCCAACTGAGGTGACATAATAGAGAGAGGGAATTTGTAGACAGGACAAAGAACAAAGTTGAAAGCCCAGATATAAAACGGAGTAAGACTTTATAGTTTGCAGACCAGCTCACCCTGAACTTGCTGCGCAGCAGACTGTTTATGGCAAAGTCGTCCTTCCACGCACTCTGGGCTTCCTGCAGCTCAAACAATGAGGGGGCTGCTTTTTGTAGCTTTTCTTTGTCTGCAACTCCATGTTCCAGGCGGAACATAGAGTCCGTTTCCAGTCGCTGTTTTTGCTCATGCTCTGTGAGTTCAGAATGAGTAACACAATTCATCACGAAAATCAGTAGTTTATATGATTCAATTTCAATGTTGTGCAGAGGACAAGGGACTTTTATTTAGTAAACATGTCTGACTTACAAAGCAAACCCTTTATCCCTTGAAGTGTAGAGTATTGTATTTTAGAGAAATGAAAACACAATTGCAACATATAAAAAACAGAAGCTGAAAAATCCTCCAATTCAGCTATAGCCACAGTTTGGCTATTTTTGTGACTAATCTTCAATTTGCTTCATTGCTGTGTTTATAATCCCCAAAGTAGGTTTATGAACAAATACAAAGTGAAAATTAAATAAAAAATTACAGTGATGACTAAGCTTAGCACACTAGATGTTTAAGAACAACAATTCCTTTGACGGCTGAGCATTATGGGAAATATGGATCTCAAACATCTAGGGAGTCATAATAGTCAATGGAGCGGAGCATGATGGTCAGTTAGTAAGAGTGTCTCCACACAGCTTTTCAACTTTCAGTTCTGACAATGATGTTCAGCCAGCCATTAGCGAAGCGGTTACTTAGAGGAACACAATTGCCACTGATACTACTTCATCTCATTGAAGTGTTTATAGTGTCTGAAGTAGCTTTCTGCCATTCTTCCATTCAGTGTTAAAAACTGTTTTAATGCTAAACAAGAGTCCCCAGCAGCCTAGCCCCTCTGTGCAGATCAGGCTAATGAGGAAGCATTAGCCTCGGCACCAATGGGCAGCTATAATTGGCTGAGAGTGTAAGCTGGCTGCTTTCAGCCTATCACAGCCACTTATTGCTGGTGTGAGTTGGTATGGCAGGTGTAATCTCTGCCTTAGCCATACTTCCAGTTTGGTGTGTGGTGTGTGGTGTGGGTGGCCAGGGACCATCATGCTCGAAAATGGATAACACTGAATGGAGGGATAGTGCCAGGCAGTATAACCAATTCAAAGAGATGAAATGGTTATAGTGCCTACAATGTCACTTTAATCATAAGGAATTTAGTTGACTCTCTGGGTTGTGAAAAGCTAAATTAGAGAGTTACAAAGTACACAGTATTTCCTTGTGCGATTTTCACCTGTTGTGAGGATTTGCTCATTTTCACTCATGTCCCAGCGTTCCTCCTTCCTTTGTGCACCACTGACAATGACATAATCACAGTTTGCTGGATCTGTCTGCATTTCAATGTAATTCACGCACAAGTGACACTTCATTCTGAATCTAAATAGAAAAGAGAAGCGGACACATTCGTTTTAAATTCTGCAGAATATATGGTGATTTTCCTTTGTAAATTATGTACTATAAACTCAGATCAGTGATGTTCGCTGAAAGCCTCTCAGACGGATAGAAAAATGTTTCTCCAACTCAGTAGTAAAATTCCCTCTCACTGATATATTGAATGTGTGCTCTTGTCTATGTTTCATAGTATTGTCTGTATGCGTTCTCCCACTCTGCAGTCAATATCACAGACTCAGAAATAGGGTACTTTTTACATGTGACAGCTCCCCTACTCTCTGCACACAGTAAATGCATCAACGTGTATTTCAGCTGGAGGCAGTATGTGTACGTTTTGTACACGCAGCATGCGCAGATCTTCCCATGGTTTATCTACTGAACTAAACTGGTGACATCAGAGAAAGCTGAACTGTAGACAGGGGACTACTGTTTCTGTAATAACTTGTTCTAAAGAATAATAGTGCTTTATTTCACTAAAACAATTGCTATGACTGCTCCTTTAAACTCTACACTGCTACTCAATATCTTATAGTGCAATAAGTAACATATAAATGCAGGTACCTGTAAATCGGCGTTGTGTAGTAATTCCCCACTTTTTTCTTCTCTGCGTTATATCGCACACCTAAAAGAAATAAGGCAAGTGAAAAGCATAAGGGGCAAAATCAGACCTTGTGGTGATATATGGTGTGTAAAAAGATGTACAAAATTATTATTTATGGAAAAGCACCAAAGAGACAGAACATCAATTTGTTTTTTTACAAGACACAATATAAACATTGCACATTAAAATAAGCATTAGGAACTGCAGCTTAACAACCATGATAATGCAAAATAGCACTAGAATAAATGTCCTCGCTGCACCCACAATACCACATAAGCCCATGCAATATGTATACAAATACCCCCAAACAATTCTGTGATTAGTTCAACATTCAATTCTGAAGCAGGATGGACATACCCATTCCTATGTGATTTTTGCAGCCATCACACCAGATGTTATAGGGCATCTCAAACCTGGAAGAAACTAGAAATTGTAACCACTGCCTTACCAAAGACGTTATCCACATTATTACAACACAAAAATCTTCCTACCGATAATATACAATGAAAGAGGTCAGGCCTTGTGTCAATTTGAGTTGTATCAAGTTTCAGTCCTCTAGGTATGTGATGTGTGAAGCATCTTATAGATTAAACTGTAATCAGAAATTCAATCTGGTGGTTTCTTCCAATTACAATACTTTCAAACTAAACAATCATATTTGCGCCAAAGCCCAACACAATTTATCACAACAAAGTGTATTATTGATGGGAATAGCATTTGCAGACAGTTTACAGAAGCAGAAATTAAAAAATGCAGCATTATGTTGTATAGTGTATTGCTGGTAGAACTTAGCCCCTCTCACCTGATAATGAGAATGCCTTGGGAAAGTTTCCTAGCTCTTTCCCGCAAAGGGTGACTGTTCCTATATCCATTAAGAGATCCATGCTGCAAAAAAAAGAAAGGTATAAAAATAATTATTATATTCAATTATTTTTGTAACAATAGCTATTGCAAAAAAAGAAAAAAAATATAAAAAAAAATCTATAGAACAGCAAGGCTAACCTGATATAAGATCAAAGTAATACAAATGTTTTTGCACAGCCTTACCTTGGCAGGGTCAAAGTCTGGTGGATAATATTTGTTGGTTCCTTTTCTTTCCCCCTGTAAACACAAAATAATAATTTAATGACAAATATGACTTTCCATCAGGGCCCGTTATCAGCTAATATACTGCCATAAACTCTTTGGTCACTACCTGCTATAGCTGCCTATACCGGTTAAGGAAGAGGGATGATGTAATATCTGTCATGACATTCACTGTCTGTTCTATGAAAGACAGCATTTTGTAACAGGTAGTCAGGCTTCCGGTAGCTTTAAACCATTAACCATTAACCATTAGACCTTAACAGTGTAGACTTGATTCTGTATTCCCAAGATTTCAAATTAACACTTTAATTTCAGGGGCAAGGCTGTTCTGAGACATTTCTGAGAAATTGTAGGTGACTTACTAATAATTTATGGAACTACACTGTAATTTTGAACAAGAACAATGTATCTTATTTACACAGGCTGATTTCTAGACATGTTTATTGTAGTTTAAAGGACCACTATAGTGCCAGGAAAACATACTCGTTTTCCTGGCACTATAGTGCCCCGAGGGTGCCCCCACCCTCAGGGACCCCCTCCCGCCGGGCTCTGGAAAGAGGAAAAGGGGTTAAACTTACCTTTTTCCAGCGCTAGGCGGAGAGCTCTCCTCCTCCGATCCTCCTCCTGGGCTGAATGCGCACGCGCAGCAAGAGCTGCGCGCGCATTCAGCCGGTCACATAGGAAAGCATTCATAATGCTTTCCTATGGACGCTGGCGTGCTCTCACTGTGATTTTCACAGTGAGAATCATGCAAGCGCCTCTAGTGGCTGTCAATGAGACAGCCACTAGAGGATTAGGGGGAAGGCTTAACCCATTCATAAACATAGCAGTTTCTCTAAAACTGCTATGTTTATGAAAAAATGGGTTAACCCTAGCTGGACCTGGCACCCAGACCACTTCATTAAGCTGAAGTGGTCTGGGTGCCTAGAGTGGTCCTTTAAGATGCATTACTGGGAGTATTATTGCTGTGGAGCTCTGTTGTACACTCAGACACATTACTGGGAGTATTATTGTTGTGGGGCTCTGTTATATACTCTGACACATTACTGGGAGTATTATTGTTGTGGAGCGCTGTTATACACTCTGACACATTACTGAGAGTATTATTGCTGTGAAGCTCTGTTATACACACAGACACATTACTGGGAGTATTATTGCTGTGGAGCTCTGTTATACACACAGAGACATAACTGGGAGTATTATTGCTGTGAAGCTCTGTTATACACACAGACACATTACTGGGAGTATTATTGCTGTGGAGCTCTGTTATACACTCAGACACATTACTGGGAGTATTATTGCTGTGGAGCTCTGTTATACACACAGAGACATTACTGGGAGTATTATTGCTGTGGAGCTCTGTTATACACACAGACACATTACTGGGAGTATTATTGCTGTGGAGCTCTGTTATACACTCAGACACACCGACAATATGGAGCTCCTAGAAAAGAGGGACGGGGAAATTTAGGCAAACATATAGACTGTCCTTCTTATATAGTGCCACTTTGGAGGTATCTTGTTCAGGAGTGAGTTTTCATGGGGTCAGATTGTGAGCTATCAGTAGCTGAATACATTTAAACATATACAAAGATATCACAAGTAGCCAACAATCAGCTGCTGTGGAACTTCATCTCTTATGTGCTGAATAGAGGCTGGATAAGAATCATAGGAGTCAGAGATTAAAAAAAAAAAAAAAGACATTTGAGTGTACACTCACCATGCTGGAAGCTGGCCCCTGGTCTCACTCACTGCAGGGTCCCTGGTAGGGAATTGGTGTTAATTCTGCCTGTGAATGAAAATTAGTTATTAGAACAGGGGGTTTCATAAATATGATAAAAATCTGCACTCCCCCAAATCAAATTCTCCACTACCTTGTAGCTGTTGTTGTGTTGATGATGTCATCAGCGTGCGCCTCGGTGGTCATGTGATCGCTGCTACAGTGTCCGTGGAGGGTCAGAGCTACTCAGAATGCGTTTACACATGTGGCATGTTTGTGGATGGTGCTCAGTAATTTATTGTTATTATAGCTTGTATATCCCTGGTTAATGACTTTAATGGTAGGGAGTCCAGACGTTTGTTACGTTTTACTCAGCTGATGGCATATTTTCTATATTAGACACACACATTCCCCACTTTTTTCTTCTCTGCATTATATATATATTTATTTATTTGCACAGTTGCATAATGTGTCCTGCTGTATATAATATAATAATACCATAACATTAATAATGGTTTTAATATTGTGGCTGTGTGCTCACAGACTAGTGAAATTACTAAATAGTGTTGAAGCCTCTAGATTTTTATGAGGAATTACCTTTTATCAAGCATCTGTGATATCTATAAATACATGTACAGAGAAATGTGAATAATAAAAAAAAATCATTAAAACCAAAAAGTTTACAAACAATGCTGGGGTGGGTGAAATAGTGGTAACACCACATAATGTTAGTTGAAAATGTCTCTGTCACTTCTGAGCATAAAAGGTAAATCTTTCTGACATACTCATATTGACTGTGTTGGAATTTCTCTGAAATTCTACTACAATCAAAAGATACCATAAGACAAAAGTAGAACAACAGTGACACAGACATTAAAGCGACACTATAATCATCCAGACCACTTCATCTCATTGAAACTGCAATTATTACATTGCAGGACTAAGTCTGTCTCTAGTGACTGTCAATCAGACAGACACTCAAGGCACTTCCTGGTTGTTAAAGGACCACTGTAGTGCCAGGAAAACATACTCGTTTTCCTGGCACTATAGTGCCCTGAGGGTGCCCCCACCCTCAGGGTCCCCCTCCCGCCCGGCTCTGGAAGGGGGAAAGGGGTAAAAACTTACCTTTTTCCAGCGCTGGGCGGAGAGCTCTCCTCCCCGTCGGCTGAATGCGCACGCGCGGCAAGAGCTGCGCGCGCATTCAGCCGGTCACATAGGAAAGCATTATCATTATCATTATCAATGCTTTCCTATGGACGCTGGCCTGCTCTCACTGTGAAAAACCCATTCATAAACACAGCAGTTTCTCTGAAACTGCTATGTTTATAAAAAAAAATGGGTTAACCCTAGCTGGACCAGGCACCCAGACCACTTCATTAAGCTGAAGTGGTCTGGGTGCCTAGAGTGGTCCTTTAAGCGACTTTTGGTCGCCTAACTGGCAATGGACATCATCGCACTCTGCAGTAAAATTAAAGCAATGCTTTTCTATGAGGAATGCCTAATGTGCTTGTGTCACTCGCCGTGCATGTGCATTAGTGCCCAGTGTCTAGAAGTGTCTAGCGGAGGAGATATATAGTACCTACTTTATCTCAGTATATATTTTCTGTAAAATTCCAACACAGAATGGATTTTAAAACACAACTGGTCTGCAGCAACTCAGTTAATGCCAGAGCGATAGTTCCCAAAGAGTCTTTGCACCCTAACAATTAACACAAGCTGTAATACTTATGGAGCTTAGAGCATCCCTTTGACATCCTACAAGTCGGCTGCAGTAGACAAAGTTCCACAATGCAGCTACGAATGCTTTGTTGACACAGTACATTGGAGTGATTCCTGTGCATTGTTATGTCCATTTCCTCCTGTAGGAGCTATGTTTCTCTTAAAGAGAACCTTTCCCATTTCCCCTTGTGACATTTGCTCCTTTATCAAGTACTACTGATACTAGTGCTAGTGAAATGTGAAAAACCATCAACTAAGCCCTTTCTTCATTATAGAATGTGATGGCAGATAAGAACCATTCGGCCCATCTAGTCTGCCCAATTTTCTAAATACTTTCATTAGTCCCTAGTCTTATCTCATAGTTAGGACAGCCTTATGCCTATCCCACGCATGCTTAAACTCCTTTACTGTGTTAACCTCTACCACTTCAGCTGGAAGGCTATTCCATGCATCCACTACCCTCTCAGTAAAGTAATACTTCCTGATATTATTTTTAAACCTTTGTCCCTCTAATTTAAGACTATGTTGTGGTAGTTTTTATGTATTTGAATGTTTCTATCATATTCCCCCTTTCTCGTCTTTCCTCCAAGCTATACATGTTAAGATCCTTTAACCTTTCCTGGTAAGTTTGATCCCGCAATCCATCAACCAGTTTAGTAGCCCTTCTCTGAACCCTCTCTAAGGTATCAATATCCTTCTGAAGATACGGTCTCCAATACTGCGTACAATACTCCAAGTGAGGCCTCATCAGTGTTCTGTACAATGGCATGAGCACTTCCCTCTTTCTACGGCTAATACCTCTCCCTATACAACCAAGTATTCTGCTAGAATTTCCTGCTGCTCTATTACACTGTCTTCCCAGGGCCTGAAATATAGTTGGGGCTACCCACGGATCCTCATTGTACACCACAAAAACACTGAGCATAAAGTCACCAATAGCTCGGAGATTGTTGCAGTCTTGTCTACCTTGTGCCTCAGTCGACCATCTCACCCCACTTCCGCCATTTGGGATCCAGCCAAAATTGTCCCATTCACCCCTGCAGCTAATGGTGCAGCAAGAGTGGTGGTTGCCTGAACACAGAGGCGTAGCGTGGGGGGTGCAGGGGGGGCCTGCCGCACCGGGCGCAACATCTGGGGGGGCGCTCGCACTCGCAGCTCTCTGCCCCTGCCTGGCTCACTCACTCTCTCTGCAGTGCTGGCTGTGCGAATCCGATCCGAGCCGCCGGGTCGCCGCCCACTGTGGAGGGGTGCCAGGCAGGGGCGGGCTGGGCCGGGGGGCAGGGAGGCAATTGCGACTTGGAGCTATATCCTGCACAGCCCCTGTGTACAGAGTCATGAAAAGCAACTGTTCGCAGGGTCCCTGTGTGACTAGGTTGGAAAAGGACCCCAGCAAACCAAGTCAAGCCTCGGCGCCTGGGTCTGAAGTGTTCCAGGGTCCCTGAAAGCGGCGAGGAAGCAGACTTGGCGGAGGTGCTACTACTTAAATATGTTTGGTTACAGTACAAATCGATACCATCAGGACCTTTAGCACTCTTTGAGGCTTATCTTTTAAAAACTTACCAGTTTAGTTCTGTTTAGCTCTAGCATTATGGAAAAATGAAGTGTTACCACAACTTTTTACCTAGTCAAAAATAACTTGGGTTACAATGTTTTTAGGTGATGCTTAGTTTTCTTTCTATATTAAAAATTGAACAAATTATATCACAGTGAGGAGGAGGAAGAGAAATTGGGGGTCATGTACAAAAATTGCAGAGTATCTGCTTATTTCTTCTTCATTTTGTTGTGCCAACATTTTTCCTTTTTGTACCCTTACTGACACTGTCATCTTGTGCTCCCCCAGACAGAACTAGCGGTGCTGTCCTTGTATAAAAACAGGGGTACACATGTTATTGCTCACTGTCTGGCAGAACTGGGAAGAAAAATATGAGCCAATATATTAAGGGTGACACAACTGATTTTAAAATATAGGAAACTGACACGGGTGGAAAGATTTTTGTGCAACATTTTTTTTTTTTTTTTATGCATAACCAACATTATTTCATATTTGCGCTTCTCTGCAAGAGAATGTATACCTAATAACAGAGAGCCAAGATGGAGGCATCCCCTTGCAGGATAGGGGTGTGAATTTCTCAATTTAATTTTCACACCTCAAACACCTATTTGTTAAATATACGGGGATACATAAACTTTAATGTTCAAAATCCAGAGAAGTGACAGTTTCCCTTTAAGTTGCCTTTTTCTACATTGCTGCTTTGAATAAGGTTTAATCAAAATATGACTTTTTTTAAAATTATAATTAAACTATAAACTATAACTTATTTACTTAGCAGTGAATTGGATACTCCAATGAACAGGGCTGTTGACTAAATTGAGAATTCAAAGTGAATTTCAAATTGATGGCCGGAGTATCCAAACTCTAAGTCAAGGATACTTTCAAAGTTACTCCAGTTTGGCTAGTTTGAACTTAAATTTGAAATGAACTTCCTCACTTTAGAGAAGATTCCGGTTAGCTTTCATCACATCTTGGCTAATTTTGCACAAAAAAAAAAAAGATTCCATTCAGTTTTCAATTTATTGCAACACTTCAGGACTGTGATTATTATTCAATAATCACTAAGAATCTGGCTCTACAGCAAACTTACTCTTCTGAGCCTCTTCTTCGCAATGAAAAAGATTTGTCACTTTATCAACTAAGAGTTTCACCTCTCCTTCATTTTCCTGATTACTAAATCTCACCTTAAATGTATTTTCAAAATCAGAATGCAAGTGTCGATGCCAAAGGTTTGTATACTCTATAAATATAGGGATAAGTTGTATATGTAAAACAGCACTACACATTAACGTTTCTTTTTTGCATATCTGATTTGGTGTGGTCCATGGGGGTAGAGCTCAAGTGTTGAACCTGTACATACATTGTAAAGATAACACCAATTCACATTTCTATCATTTAGTTTGCACTACTATTTAAAGGTACAAATCAATACCATCAGGACCTCTAATATTCTCTGAAGTTTGTCTTTTTAAAACTTAGCAGCTAAGTGCGGTTTGGCTCTAGCATTATGGGAAAATGAAGTGTGTTACCACAACGTTTTACATGACTGGTACAGTAAGAAATACTTTAAGCCATTTAAACCTTAGAGAGGCATTGCTACTTCTCTGAAAATGACACCATTGAATAAACCACAGAACGTCACCAGTAAATTTTAACCTTTTTCATGTGTTGTTCTATTTGCTTTTTAGAGCAAACATTTTAATAAATATCAAGTATTGTAGATTATCTGTCTATACTTTTTTTTTTTTTGGGGACTAGTTTTAATTTCGTACTTTTTTTCTTTAGTTTGTTGTGCCAACATTTTCCTTTTTGTACCCTTGCTGACACTTCCATCTTGTGCTCCCCACCCAGACAGAATGGTGCTGTCCTTGTATAAAACCACATGGTACACATTTTATTATTCAGTCAGCCTGGCAGAACTAGGAAGAAAAATATGAGCCAGTGTATTAAAGGTGACATAATAGATCTAAAATATAGGAAATTGACCCAGTTGGAAAGTGTTTATGCAACGTTGTTTTTTTTCTTTTTTTAAACCATCATTATTTCATATCTTCTCTCATCTGCATTCCAAGAGAATGTAGAAACATAGAATGTGATGGCAGATAAGAACCATTTGGCCCATCTAGTCTGCCCAATTTTCTAAACACTTTCACTAGTCCCTAGCCTTATCTTATAGTTAGGATAGCCTTATGCCTATCCCACGAATGCTTAAACTCCTTTACTGTGTTAACCTCTACCACTTTGGTAGAGGTATACCTAATGACAGAGAGCCAAGAGGAGACATCCCCTTGCAGGATAAGGTGTGAATCTCTCACTCATTTTCACACCTAAAAACACATTTGTTAAATAAAGGGGGATAAGTATACTTGATATGTTCAAAATCCAGAGAAGTGACAGTTTCCCTTTTCTACACTGCTACCATTGCTGCTTTGAATCAGGTTTAACAAAATGTGACAATATAATTTATATACTTAAAGGACCACTATAGGCACCCAGACCACTTCAGCTTAATGAAGTGGTCTGGGTGCCTGGTCCAGCTAGGGTTAACCCTTTTTTTTAAAATAAACATAGTTTGAGAGAAACTGCTATATAATTATAATATGGTTAATCCAGCCTCTAGTGGCTGTCTCATTGACAGCCGCTAGAGGCACTTGCGTGCTTCTCACTGTGAAAATCACGGTGAGATGACGCCAGCGTCCATAGGAAAGCATTGTAAATGCTTTCCTATGAACTGGCTGAATGCGCGCGCACGGCTCATGCCGCGCATGCGCATTCAGCCGATGACATCGCTATGGAGGAGAGCTCCCCGCCCGGTGCTGGAGAAAGGTAAGATTTTAACCCCTTCCTCTCCCAGAGCCCGGTGGGAGAGGGACCCTGAGGGTAGGGGCACCCTCAGGGCACTATAGTGGTCCTTTAACAGTGAATTGGATACCCAATTCAACTAACAGGGTTCTTCACCAAATTGAGAATCCTAAGTGAATTTCAAGTTCACGGCAGGTGTAGCTGAACAGAATATATCACTGATTTAGCAAGTTACTCCAGTTTGGCTATTTTAATCTTAAATTTGAAATGAACTTTCTCACTTTAGTGAATAATCCTATTAGCTTTTGTCATATCTTGGCTAACTTTGTGCAAATGTCATAATTCAGTTTTCCATTTACCGCCACACCTGAAGACTGTGATTATTATTCAGTGATCACCAGAATCTGGCACTACAGCAAACAGTCTTCTGAGCCTCTTATTCACCATGTAAAAGATTTGTCACTTTATCAACTAAGAGTTTCACCTCTCCTTCATTTCCCTGATTACTAAATCTCACCTTAAATGTATTTTCAAAATCAGAATGCAAGTGTAGATGACAAAGGTTTGAACAAATTATTGCTTGTGTTTCAGCTCAACAGAAACCTGTGTGTGAATGATATTGTACAATATTTGTTAAGCACAAATATGAATGCAATATATTTTAATAATCATGGAAAAGAGTTCAATAGACGCAATCATGATCACCGTTATCACTTTTTTTTTTTTTTTTTTTTAAAAAGAATCCTCACATTCATACCTAGTTTCTATCTGCATTTATCCTTTGGCCATGATTTGCACATTTTCCAGTTTGGTCAATCTATTTCCTGAAGATCTGAGCTTGAAGGTTGTGTGCCCCGGTCACAAGCGTTTTTGGTAAAAGGGTTAGGTTAATACTGGCAGATTGAATTCAGCTGAGGAAGACACAGCCCAAAAACTGTTTATCGTGTTCAACTTTCATGTTTCTTTGTTGACATCTAACCTCTAAGATATTTTTACCAAAGAAGTGATATTTCTGAACCTGTTACCTGCCAATAACAAGTGCAGAATGAGCTTACTAACTTTATGTGTAGCATACAAAAAAATAAAAATAATAAATCTCATTTTTAAGCGTCTGGATTATATAAAGTGTGGGTTCTGAGTGCACCTATTCCCTCCCCACTGTTTCTTCAATGGAACATTCCAAGAACAGACAGGCTTGACCCAAACGGCCGACCATGTGCAGACCAGCATCAAGCCTTTTTTATGAACCTCGTCAAGCGGGCATTGCTTGGTGCAGTGATGTATAAAATGTCCTGAGTGAAGAGGCTGGGACGATCACCATTTCTTCTTATGCTCATCCATAGATACACCTCCAGGCCCTAGTGCTACAACAAGTAGCAAGCCTCCCATGACAGAGAGGGTCTGGAAGAAGTCATACTTCAAGAAGTCATGAAGAGGGCGGTAAGAAGGTATCTTCCAGAAAGCATTCTGGACCAAGTTTATGATCAGCAGCCACAGGAATAATGTTAGAGCTGCAAGCTTGGTTTTGAATCCCACAGTTACCAAGAGCATCAAAGCCAGGCCGAAGATGTCCTGGAAAATCTGAGGTGGGGAAAAGAAGGTTAGTATAAAGAAGCTATATGTAAATGTATACAGTTTTTCACATCCAATCCCCGAATCAAATTTTAAGCAAATTTAGACACTGCAGCTGCGAGACTACATTTGGCAATATTGTGTCATTAGTGAGCAGAGCGTTGCATAGTTTGACACCAAAGGTGTGCATTGAAAAGACACGCCTCACACGGTCTCAAATTTTTTTTGTAGCACAATAGGTAAATAAAATCAGTTTCTCCTAGCACCATTTTTTCCCCCCTTGCAGTCATTGACCACACACAGGCCTACTATCTGTTCTATGTCTGCACCAGACAACAAGCAACACTCATATCACACAGTACATACAGTGAAAGGATCTGTGTTGAAGCGAATCAGTGTCATAAACATTAGGATGAGTAGAATGCGTCCTCCAAGCTGCATGTATTGACGTGGCGAATTGCCACCCACGGTAGGAACTCCAGCGAACATTGACTTCCCTTCAGAGCGAGACTCTGCCAAAAGCAGCAGGAGACCACCACCTAGAGCCAAATTCCTAAGCAGAGGGGGTAATAAAAACAGGGAGAGACAAACCGTAAAGTTTTATAAAATATAGGAGGTGAGAAATAAAATAAAAGATGAGTGACAAATGGCTTGGAAGTATGGAAAGACAAAATAAGGAGAGCATCCATAACAAGCGAGGGGTGTGTACCACAAGTAGGGGGACACTTGACAACCAGTAAAAAAAATAAAATAAAAAATGAATAACTAAAAAGTAATGAGCAACAAGGAAAGCGAGTGTGGAAAATGAAGAGGAGAAAGCAGTATACACTGAGATTATGATTGGAATTAAGGAATCCAAGCAGCACATACAGAGTTACTTCCTAAAGTGAGAAATGAAAGTGAATTTCAAATTTAAAAAGACCGAGTAGCCGAATGGACAGCATAGCCATTTTGCCCTTAAATTTAAAATTCACTTTGAATACTTTACTGAATAAACCCAACAATGTGAAGAGTGCAGGATGTGATAAAATGAAGTTAAGAATAGACAGAGGGGGAGGAATTGGCAAATCAACACAGGAGGTTCAAGGTAATTCAGCTGGAATGCAAGCAGGAACACAAGGAGACAATACTAACCTCATAAGGAACTTCACGTCCCACAGGATGTTGTATACAACAGTCTGAAAGGCAAAAGGAATTTATTCGGTCACCAAGTCAACTGAAGCAGGGATCCAGCTGTCCTTCAACTGCGAGAGGATTCCCCATCGATTAAAAGCAAAAAGTCCACAGTATTTTAGAACGTTTAAATTCTGAGGGTTACTCTCACCTGCATGAAGACGATTCCAAAGAGTCCAAAACATGCGTAAGAGACATATTTTCTTGTTAGGACCAGAACGCAGCCAACTAAAGAGAGACATAGATAACATTCAGGATCCCACCCCAGAGGTAGCTGCACTGTGTAAAACTGTAATAGAAAGAAGCTGTATCAACAGAAATACACTATTCATACCCTTCCGCTGGGGTGGCTGCATTGTGCCCTGTGTATAATGTAATTGAAAGGAGCTGTATAAATACAGATATTACTAGGATCCCACCCCAGAGGGGGCTACGCTGTGTATAATGTAATAGAAAGGAGCTGTATAAATACAGATATTACTAGGATCCCACCCCAGAGGGGGCTGCACTGTGTATAATGTAATAGAAAGGAGCTGTATAAATACTGATATTACTAGGATCCCACCCCAGAGGGGGCTGCACTGTGTATAATGTAATAGAAAGGAGCTGTATAAATACAGATATTACTAGGATCCCACCCCAGAGGGGGCTACGCTGTGTATAATGTAATAGAAAGGAGCTGTATAAATACAGATATTACTAGGATCCCATCCCAGAGGGGGCTACGCTGTGTATAATGTAATAGAAAGGAGCTGTATAAATACAGATATTACTAGAATCCCACCCCAGAAAGGGGCTGCACTGTGTATAATGTAATAGAAAGGAGCTGTATAAATACAGATATTACTAGGATCCCACCCCAGAGGGGGCCGCGCTGTGTATAATGTAATAGAAAGGAGCTGTATAAATACAGATATTACTAAGATCCCACCCCAGAGGGGGCCGCGCTGTGTATAATGTAATAGAAAGGAGCTGTATAAATACAGATATTACTAGGATCCCACCCCAGAGGGGGCTGCACTGTGTATAATGTAATAGAAAGGAGCTGTATAAATACAGATGTTACTAGGATCCCACCCCAGAGGGAGTTGCAGTGTGTATAATGTAATAAAAATGGAGCTGTGTACTAGGATCCCAGCCCCGGCTGCTCGGGATATACTTTAACAGAAAAGAATTGTATTGGTACATTTTACCAAGACGTCTATGTGAACACAATGACCGTTCTGGCTGAAGCTGCCTCCAGGACTGTGATGCTCAGTACTCACCAATCTGGCCACACATATTAAAGATCACAAACAGCGTTGCCATGAACATCCCACAATTCCAGGACATGTTGATGTAATCCCGTTGCTCATTCCACTGTAGCCACATTCGAATGCCATCCTCGAGAAAAGTGCTGATCAGACAGAGGTGAGCGATGTGAGGGAGATAACGCTTTGTGACACGCAGGAACTGTGAAAATAAAGTTAGATCATCACAGTCCTGTTTAGTGGGAAACACATCCAGGAAACCAATTAGTAGTAAAACTATAAAGGCACCAAAACCACTTCATCTCAATGATGTGGTCTGGGTGCATGACCCTTTATTTTAACTAGGCAATCTAAAACACTGCAGTTTAGAAGATACAACAATGTAATGATTGCAGCCTTAACAAACCTCCAGTGCAGGGGTAGGCAAACGTTGTGGACTACAATTCTCTTGATGCTTTGCCAGCATTATGGCTGCAAGAGTATTATGGGAGATTTAGTTCACAACATCTAGACTGACTCTCAGCCAATGAGGTGGGACTGGAAGCAGGGAGACAGGTGCAGCAGGGGCAAGTATACCTTTTTAATTATTTATTGTATTGAAAGCACATGAAATGGTTTGACATTGTTCACAGGGCAATAACAGGTCGTTGCAGCATAAGATACGACATTATGTTCTTTTCAGGTACAAACTAGATGTCGGTTGTTACATGTCATGGTACATTAATTGTGCTTTCAGGCCCTTATTCAAGCACGCGCCATCCAATACTTTTTCGTTTTATTAGATAACGTAGAACGAACCGTACGAACATAAGTAGAATGGGAGAATTAGACGTAGGAAAGTGAGGTTTGTGTAAAACGATAAATGTCTATTGTCCCCGGAGAGTGGGATGTGTGAGCTTGTTTGCTGTGTGTTATCCCACTGTGGGGTGCGCCTCCAAAAGAGATGCACCGGTCCCATCGCAGAGTGCTCTATGTCCCCCCTGCAGTTCTGCCCACCCCCTCCTCTCCCCCCCAGGCATCCCCTGAGAGGCCCCTGGCCATGGCGCCCCCCGGTCTCCACTTGGATATGCCTGGACCGGAGTCCGCGGGTGTCCCAAAGGACGGCACAGTAATGAATAGAGGAAGAGAAAGGGGAAAAGAGTATTGAGTGGCCCCTTAGTTAATCCATCTATGGCTTCCAAACTGTTGAATTTGGATTCTGAGTTCTGCACCTTGGCCGTGAGCTTGTCCATGATGTTGTTGTCTTTAATTTTCCCAATTACCTCTTGTATAGTGTGGACTTTCATTTTGAGCCATGCCCCTGCCAGTGCTCTCCGTCCTGCCAAAGCTATTAGAGTCAGTCGTTTATTTGTGTGTCTGGGCATGCAATAGGAGGAATGTCCATGGAGACAAGGTTATAGGCATCTGCAGTACCTTGGAGGTTAGGTCCCCAATTCCCTTCCAGAAACTGTGCAGATTGGGGAAGTCCAGGTTCCCTTTGGCCGCACATTCTTAAGCATAAATCTGTTGGGTTTCGACCTTCTCTGTGTAAGAAAACTGGGGTGACATGCCACCGGAACATTATCCAATACATTTGTTCTTGTGATAGGATGCATACAGAGATCTTGGATGCGGTTTCCAAGATTTCCTGCCACCCTATGCCCTCTAGGGTTTCTCCTATATCAGCTTCCCTTTTATCTATATAGGTCAGGTCTCCCCACACTGAGGGTTCTTCGCTAAGATGCATGTATATAAATGGAGATGAGGTATTTGCGGTATTTTCTGTCATTGCAGAGGTGTTCAAACATGTCCTTGTTGCCGCTTCCTTAACCCCTGGGGTGTGTGCAAAATCTTGTATTAGTATACAACGGAAAAAGTCGGAGGGAGTGAGTGGAGTATCCTGTCGTAAACGTTCAAAGCCAAGTATAGTGTTCATTTGCCACAGGTGGTGGAATCTCTGGAGTCCTGACCTTATTAAAGGACCACCATAGTGCCCGGAAAACAAACAAACATACTCGTTTTCCTGGCACTATAGTGCCCGGAGGGTGCCCCCACCCTCAGGGACCCCCTCCCGTAGAGCTCTGGAGTAGAGGAAGGGGTTAAACACTTACCTTTCTCCAGCGCCGGGCGGGGAGCTTTCCACCTCCTCTCCTTCTTCCTAGCGACGTCATTGGTTGTTTGCGCTGGCATATGAAGTAGTCTATTGTGGACTGTAAGGAAGCTCGGTTCTGCCATTTTTTTTAAATTGCAAGCAGGGCCGGTAACCTAAATAGTAATGGAACCGCGCAATAACAAACCTACTGAAAGCTTGGATATAAGACTTAAAATTTGAAGTCCTACACGGTCAGCCAGGCTTTAAAGGGTACTTGTCACTGTAAGCCTTGAGGGCCCAAGGCACACTAACCAGAGGTCAATTTTATTCACCAATGGCTGGCAGACATTTTTAGCCTAGTAAGGGTACACGGTGCAAAGTGCTCCTAGTTAGAATAGTAAAAGCTATTAGCAAATCAAATAAAGTTACACATTTATCATAGAACACGTAAGCTCAAATCATAGTACAGCTAGAGGAAGGTAAAGGTAAGGATTTTAGGGAAATAGAAATTATTTGGGAATAATTTAAGGAGTATGTATGGTCAGATGAACTGGGCTGAGTGGGATTGAATTATGTAGGGTCAAGGAAGGCTTTTATGAAGAGATATTTTATGAACATGCCAAATATTTTTAGGGAGGTGACTGACTAGACGGAAAGATGGGTATATAGTTCTGTAACAGAGGGCTAGGAGTGAAAAGAAGTGGAATCAGGAAGGGAAAGAAACTGGAAGTTTTAGGGAGGTAAAGTAGGTGTGAGGAGTAGGTAGGTGAAAGGTTGGAGAAGGCTGATCAAGGCACATGTGGGAAAACAAACAAGCCACTTCTTAAATTTGTTGATGGACAATGGAGTGCCATGTTTTTGTGGGTATATTGTAATGGTGCCCTAATGTCTGAGGGATAATTAACTTAGCAGCTACTGATCTAGTTAACTCCCAGACTATAACGCCATAGTGGGATTTTCATTGCTCAAGCCATGGACCTCCTGATGGAGTGATATATATTTAAAAAATAAAGTAGTGTCCCTTGCTCCAAATAAAGCAGTACTTATTCACCATTTTAGCAAGTCTCGGCTAGTAAACAGCTATAATTACTCTGGGTATCCAGTGCTCAAAAAGAGGGACACTTGATGGAGACACGCAACTCGAGTGCTGAGTCCTGCCACACATTGCATTTTGAAATAACACTCACAGAGGCTAAATACATCCAGTTTTTCATTTTAAAAGAAGAGAAATGTGAGGATTTGTTTCCTTCGAACAGCAGGCAGAAAAGTAGGTTGGGTGTACATCATTATTAATTCCATGCTTTTAACATTATCACAGGCTTTTTATAAAGCGCCAACATATTCAACTGCGCTGCACAATTAGGGAAGTAAAAAAAAACAAAAAAAAAAAAATCCCAAAAACCGTACAATATACACAAATCAATAAATATAGCTTTTAGTGGCTTGCTTCACAAGTCCAGTACAACAAGTTTCCAGGTCTTATTTCTTGATCTTAATTTACAAAGTTCCAAAGTAAAAATATTCTGCAGTGATTCACAGTAAGTACGTGATAAAATTGGTAAAAGAAGCTAGGCACAAACGATTAGGGAGTCTAATGGAAATGGTGTAGAATTACAAAAGCTAGAAGTGCTATAAAGAAGGGAGCACTGAATACAGGGGTACTCACAATACAATTTACATAGCACAGTAACCCACGTGTGAGGAGGGTTAGGTAACATCAAAATACGCTGTGTAAATTAGTTAAGCACTGCTCGGCAGTATAGACTCTTTGGAAATGCCCAATCACGCACGCACTCTTATGGCATTTGTCTAGACACATGAACATGCCTGGAGTACCAACGAATAATCATGTCACCATGGACATATGAAGTCTGTGGAGGTGTATTTTCTTTGTATGATGGGGTAATGCAGGTTTTTCCATAAGAATCAGGCAGTAGTACCGAAATTTAAAGGAACACTATAGTGTTATGAAAACAAACATGTATTTTTAACACTACAATTGTCATAGATAACGGTAAATAAATGGTTAAAGCCTTAGTCAAGTCCTTCCACATCTGGAGGGGTTAAAAGCCATTTTATATACACAATGCTCTCCCATTAAATACTGAGATTGATTTTTGAACTACAACGAAGTAAGTCTGTGGTTTTATTATCGTTTCTCCCGAGCGCTCAAACACCTAATTAGGAGCCCCTGGTTATCTCTTGGATGATTGATCCGTTATAAAATTTCTATATCATAATATCCTGCTCACTATTTAGGTGGTTGGCCCTCCACGTAAAGAGTAAAAAAAAAAAAAAATTGATCTACTCCGGTGCTCTCTACGGGCCAGCCCCAACTTCTCGTCTTAGATCAAAAGTCTTGATGACTGCTCTCAGACAATGACCATCACCCTGTGCAATCAAAGTTGCACATAATTGTCATTCGCAACCCGGGGCTGACTGAGGACACCCATACGATGCTCCTAGAGGTGGAGTTACTCTGCCAGCTGCTGAGGGGTTAATCTCATGCATGTGCATGGCTCACACTTCATGAACGTTTGTGGAAGCAAGAGCTAACATACGGATGCATTATTTTAATACTTCTCTAGGAGACGTATTCTATAGGGCTATTGCGGCATTTATTGATGTTCATGCGCCAATTTCATACAGGCAGGTAGGGAGACTGCGGTCACTGACAGTGTCCTGGAGGTGGAGGGTAACAGAAGTGAGAGAGGTAAGTAGTATTACCTTACCGTAAAGGGTCAAAGGAACATTCCAAACAATGAAATTAAATATTGTTTTTATTGCAGGAGAATTATTTAAGGAGTTAAATGGTCAAACCATGCAGACACCACGACATGTTTAATGGGTCACTATGTCATTCCCTCTGGGCAGTGCGGTGACATGTTTAATGGGTTACTATGGCATTCCCGCTGGGCAGTGCGGTGACATGTTTAATGGGTTACTATGGCATTCCCGCTGGACAGTGCGGTGACATGTTTAATGGGTTACTATGGCATTCCCGCTGGGCAGTGCGGAGACATGTTTAATGGGTTACCAAACCAGTCCACACGCCCCCCTACCAGTCTAGGATTTAGACCCAGTTGTGCCTAAGGTGTCTTTAGAAGAAAAGAAAAGAAAAAAAAACGACACAACTGGGTAATCTCTAAATCCTGAACTGATGAGGGATATGTTAAATAGGTTAAACGTTAAGTACCATTGGGCAATGCAGTGACATTAAACAGGTTGCTGTGCTATCCATAGAGTTAGACCATAAACCCATTACACATGAGTTACTAAGTCAGTCCCACAAGAAAGCACAGTGACATGTTTAATGTGTTAAAGGGCCAGTCCCCCTGTAGAGTGCAGTGACAGGTATAATGTGTTAAAGGGCCAGTCCCCCTGCAGAATGCAGTGACAGGTATAATGTGTTAAAGGGCCAGCCCCCCTGTAGAATGCAGTGACAGGTATAATGTGTTAAAGGGCCAGCCCCCCTGTAGAATGCAGTGACAGGTATAATGTGTTAAAGGGCCAGTCCCCCTGTAGAGTGCAGTGACAGGTATAATGTGTTAAAGGGCCAGCCCCCCTGTAGAGTCCAGTGACAGGTATAATGTGTTAAAGGGCCAGTCCCCCTGTAGAGTGCAGTGACAGGTATAATGTGTTAAAGGGCCAGCCCCCCTGTAGAATGCAGTGACAGGTATAATGTGTTAAAGGGCCAGCCCCCCTGTAGAATGCAGTGACAGGTATAATGTGTTAAAGGGCCAGCCCCCCTGTAGAATGCAGTGACAGGTATAATGTGTTAAAGGGCCAGCCCCCCTGTAGAATGCAGTGACAGGTATAATGTGTTAAAGGGCCAGCCCCCCTGTAGAATGCAGTGACAGGTATAATGTGTTAAAGGGCCAGTCCCCCTGTAGAGTGCAGTGACAGGTATAATGTGTTAAAGGGCCAGCCCCCCTGTAGAGTGCAGTGACAGGTATAATGTGTTAAAGGGCCAGTCCCCCTGTAGAGTGCAGTGACAGGTATAATGTGTTAAAGGGCCAGCCCCCCTGTAGAATGCAGTGACAGGTATAATGTGTTAAAGGGCCAGCCCCCCTGTAGAATGCAGTGACAGGTATAATGTGTTAAAGGGCCAGCCCCCCTGTAGAAGTGACAGGTATAATGTGTTAAAGGGTCCCCCTGTAGAGTGCAGTGACAGTAATGTGTTAAAGGGCCAGCCCCCTGTAGAATGCAGTGACAGGTATAATGTGTTAAAGGGCCAGTCCCCCTGTAGAATGCAGTGACAGGTATGTGTTAAAGGGCCAGTGCAGTGACAGGTATAATGTGTTAAAGGGCCAGTCCCCCTGTAGAGTGCAGTGACAGGTATAATGTGTTAAAGGGCCAGCCCCCCTGTAGAGTGCAGTGACAGGTATAATGTGTTAAAGGGCCAGTCCCCCTGTAGAGTGCAGTGACAGGTATAATGTGTTAAAGGGCCAGAGTGCAGTGACCCCCTGTAGAGTGCAGTGACAGGTATAATGTGTTAAAGGGCCAGTGTAGAATGCAGTGACAGGTATAATGTGTTAAAGGGCCAGCCCCCCTGTAGAATGCAGTGACAGGTATAATGTGTTAAAGGGCCAGTCCCCCTGTAGAGTGCAGTGACAGGTATAATGTGTTAAAGGGCCAGCCCCCCTGTAGAGTGCAGTGACAGGTATAATGTGTTAAAGGGTCGGTACCCCTGTAGAGTGCAGTGACAGGGCCAGTCCCCCTGTAGAATGCAGTGACAGGTATAATGTGTTAAAGGGCCAGTCCCCCTGTAGAGTGCAGTGACAGGTATAATGTGTACAGGAAGTGTGTGTTAAAGGGCCAGTCCCCCCAGGTGTGTTAGAGTCCCCCTGCAGTGACAGGTATAATGTGTTAAAGGGCCAGTCCCCCTGCAGAGTGACAGGTATAATGTGTTAAAGGGCCAGCCCTGTAGAGTGCAGTGACAGGTATAATGTGTTAAAGGGCCAGCCCCCCTGTAGAATGCAGTGACAGGTATAATGTGTTAAAGGGCCAGCCCCCCTGTAGAATGCAGTGACAGGTATAATGTGTTAAAGGGCCAGTCCCCCTGTAGAGTGCAGTGACAGGTATAATGTGTTAAAGGGCCAGCCCCCCTGCAGCAGGTAGTGTTAAAGGGCCAGCCCCCCTGTAGAATGCAGTGACAGGTATAATGTGTTAAAGGGCCAGTCCCCCTGTAGAGTGCAGTGACAGGTATAATGTGTTAAAGGGCCAGCCCCCCTGTAGAATGCAGTGACAGGTATAATGTGTTAAAGGGCCAGCCCCCCTGTAGAATGCAGTGACAGGTATAATGTGTTAAAGGGCCAGCCCCCCTGTAGAATGCAGTGACAGGTATAATGTGTTAAAGGGCCAGTCCCCCTGTAGAGTGCAGTGACAGGTATAATGTGTTAAAGGGCCAGCCCCCCTGTAGAGTGCAGTGACAGGTATAATGTGTTAAAGGGCCAGTCCCCCTGTAGAGTGCAGTGACAGGTATAATGTGTTAAAGGGCCGGCCCCCTGTAGAGTGCAGTGACAGGTATAATGTGTTAAAGGGCCAGCCCCCTGTAGAGTGCAGTGACAGGTATAATGTGTTAAAGGGCCAGCCCCCTGTAGAGTGCAGTGACAGGTATAATGTGTTAAAGGGCCAGCCCCCTGTAGAATGCAGTGACAGGTATAATGTGTTAAAGGGCCAGTCCCCCTGTAGAGTGCAGTGACAGGTATAATGTGTTAAAGGGCCAGTCCCCCTGTAGAGTGATATCTTTTTAATCAGTGCTTGATAATTAAAGGTAATTGACCCCCCGCCAGCCACTTGGTTTCTTCCGTTTCTCTTTCGCAATCATTAACCAGAGGGAAAAACCAACGCCTGACAAAGGGGAGCGCAGCGAATCGCGGACTGTACCATTTCTCCAACAGCGGAGACCTCACTGAGCATTTGCCAAGACGCCCTTTGTCACGGGCTACTGAATGAAGCGGGGCTGGCGGCTGGCTGTTACCTGGTCTGCCAGTTCGTCGGCGGCTCCCATCAAATCCGCAGGCATCCTCTCCTCCTTCGTAGGCAGCGAATGAACCCGTCCGTCTCGCGCTCCCACTGAGCACTGCACGCGAGGGGCCGCGCCAGCCAGCCAGAGATACGCGTCACCACAACATGCCACGCTGATTGGTCGACCCGCTGTACAACACTGCGTGCGCTGTGACCCCCGCCAGCCAATCACTGGGACCCAACTCACCGCTTCATTCAGCAGGGCACGTCACAAACGGCAGGCGCTTATTTGTAACCAAGAACCTCTTTCCAAGCGAGTGAACTTCGGCAGAGGGGCGGGGCAGGGCTGGCGCAAGCCCCACCCCCCGCCTTCGATGGGCAACGGCGCGCATTCCTTAGAGCTCCGTTTGCCTCCATTTTTGATTTGGGCAAATGCCCTTACTGTGAGCTTAGACAGGCTAGCCTGGGCTTTACTTAGAAAAATCTGGGTATAAAATACATGTATTGAGAAATTATAACACAATACTACTGGTGACACGAACATGTGAGGTAATAAAGTTTAACTAGGGAGATATTGGTTATAATTATGTAACATGATGAGGTAATATGATGAGCTGAGGTAAAATGTGTGTATTTACTGAGATAATTCAATATATTATTATCATTATTATTATGATATTTATAGAGCGCCGTCAAATTCCGCAGTGCTTTACAATGGGTGGACGAACAGACATGCAGTTGTAACCAGACAAGTTGGACACACAGGAACAGAGGGGTTTAGGGCTCTGCTCAATGAGCTTACATGCTAGAGGGAGTTGGGTAAAATGACACAAAAAGGTAAGGATAGTATTAGACTAGTGACAGTTGCACAAGAGGAATCAGTCAGGAGCTATTAACAGTTTAATTGATACGCTTTCATGAAGAAGTGGGTTTTTAATGATTTTTTTGAAGGAGTGGAGACTGGGTGAGAATCTAACGGAGGAGGGAAGCGAGTTCCACAGGAACGGTGCAGCCCTCGAGAAATCTTGAAGGCGAGCATCAGAGGTGGGAGTACGGGCAGAAGAAAGACGTAAGTCTTCAGCAGATCGTAAGGACCTAGACGGGACACACTTGTGTATAAGGGAGGATAGATAGGTGGGAGCAGCATTATGTAGTGATTTGAAGGCAAGAACCAGAATTTTAAATTGAGCTCTATATTTTATAAGAAGCCAATGTAGGGACAGACAGAAGGGTGAGGCATGGGAGGTGCGGGCGGACAGGAAGATGAGCCTCGCCGCCGCATTCATTATGGACTGTAACGGCGCGAGTTGGGAGAACGTAAGACCACTGAGAAGCAGATTACAGTAGTCAAGGCGAGAAAGGACAGAGGAATGGACCAACACAATAGTCGCATCTGGCGTTAAGTAGGGGTGGATGCGCGCAATGTTTTTGACATGGAAATGACAGGATTTGGCGATAGATTGAACATGAGGCTTGAAAGAGAGGTCGGAGTCAAAGAGAACACCTAGGCAGCGAGCCTGCATGGTGGAGCTGATGATAGCACCGTTGACTTGGAGGGACAGACACGGGAGTAACAACACTTGAGGGAGTAAAGACCAGAATTTCAGTTTTGGTCAAGTTTAGTTTAGGGAAGTGGGCAGCCATTCAGTTAGAAATAGCAGAGAGGCAGTCAGAGACACTAGTCAAGAGGGACGGGGAGAGATCAGGAGAGGACAGGTAGATTTGCGTGTCATCTGCATAGAAATGATATTGGAAGCCAAAGGAGCTAATAAGTTTACCAAGGGAAGCAGTATAAATGGAGAACAGTAGGGGACCAAGGACTGAACCTTGGGGGACACCGTATATAATACTGTGACAGGAATGGCTGAGGTACTATGTGTGTATTTATTGAGATAATACAATATATAATACCGTGACAGGGGCAGCTGAGGTAAAATGTGTGTATTTACTGAGATAATACAATATATCATATCGTGACAGGGACAGCTTAGGTGAAATGTGTGTATTTTTTGAGATAATACAATATACATCTTTAACTGCTCTCTTTCTTCTGGCACTGTTCCTGCTGACCTTAAACATGTCACTGTAGTACCTACCCTGAAAGAAACATCTCTTGACCCGTCCACCCCCTCTACCATCGTCCCATATCCCTGCTCCCTTTCTCATCAAATCTTCTGGAAAGACTTGTCTTTACCGTGTGTCTCGCTTCCTCAATTCCAACTCTCTCCTTGACCCTCTTCAATCTGGCTTCCGCCCTCTCCACTCTACTGAGACTGCCCTTATCAAAGTTACTAATGATATAATCACAGCTAAATCCAAATGCCACTACTCCATACTAATTCTTCTTGACCTCTCTGCTGCCTTTGACACCGTTGATCATGCTCTCCTCCTTCAAACTCTTCAATCACTTGGTCTCTGTGACTCTGTCCTCTCGTGGTTTTCCTCTTATCTCTCCCAATGCTCATTCAGTGTCTCCTTTTCTAATGATACCGCCTCCCCTCGTCCTGTCTCGGTTGGAGTTCCCCAAGGCTCTGTCCTTGGTCCCCTTCTATTTTCTCTTTCTACTGACTCTCTTGGCAAGCTTATTGCCTCTTTTGGATTCCACTACCACCTGTACACTGTTGACACCTAGTTATATCTCTCCTCCCTGGACCTCTCTCTTGCTGTCCTGCAGCATGTCACTGCTTGCCTATTTTCCATCTCTGACTGGATGTCCTCATGCTTTCTGAAACTCAATCTCTCTAAAACCAAGCTCCTCGTCTTTCCCCCTCCTAATACTGATTCTCCTCTCTCGCTCTCCCTTCAAGTTTATGGTACCCACATCAGTCCATCCTTACAAGCACGCTGTCTTAGCCTCATACTTGACTCTGGCCTCACCTTTGAGCCTCACATCCAGTTTGTTGCCAAATCCTGTAGGTTCCAACTCAAAAACATAGCCCGCATCCGCCCCTTTCTTACACAAGATGCTACCAAGGAGCTTGTCCATGCTCTAGTAATTTCCCGCATGGATTACTGTAACCCTCTCCTGATTGGTCTCCCCAAAAACCGTATTGGACCACTACAGTCTGTAATGAATGCTGCAGCTAGATTGATTTTCCTCTCTAGTTTGTCCTCTCACACATCACCCCTCTGCCAGTCCTTACATTGGCCCCCTGTATCCTATAGGAGTCAATTCAAAGTGCTAACCCATACATTTAAAGCACTGAACAATTCTAGCCCCTCTTATACCTCCTTATACATACAATAGGTGGAACACACATCTGTAGAATCTAAAACATAGAATAGAACATCATAGTGTAATATATCCAAAATAAACTGTAATAAATGAAAATAGAGCGATATTACTCACAAGCCTAGAGCCAATATAAACATATGGCTCTTATGTGCAGCGCAGTGGGACTTTTATATGGATGTCCCCATCCCTCTTGATGTTCCTCCTTTGATGGTAGGGTGATGATAGAGGATCACAATATCCCAATCTGTTTCTAATAAGGGAACTCCAGAAAGCGGGGCACAAGGTGACTCCAAGTTTTACCCCTTAGCTCCACTATTGTCTACTGTCTGCCCCTTACTGACAGCACTGAACAATTCTAGCCCCTCTTATACCTCCTCAATGATCCATAGATATGCCCCTCCTTGTTCCCTCCGCTCTGCCCGTGACCACCTCCTGACTGCTGCTTGCACCCATACGGCCAACTCGCGCTTGCAGCACATCTCACGGGCGGCTCCCTTCCTATGGAATAGCCTGCCTACCGCCATCAGACTCTCCCCTAGTCGTCAATAATTTAAGAAGTGCCTTAAAACCCATCTCTTCAGGAAAGCTTATGGCCTCCCAGAGTAACCTCTACCTCACATACCTGTCTCTTGCTCTTTCCTAATGGGCAGCACTTTACTCTCTCCTCCAGCTCTGCTTCACTCCCACCTTATTTGACTGCTATTTCCTGTCCTAACGTGTCTTATATCCCACCTCCTATAGAATGTAAGTTCGTTTGAGCAGGGTCTTCTTCAACCTATTGTTCCTGTAAGTTTTCTTGTAATTGTCCTATTTATAGTTACATCCCCCTCTCATAATATTGTAAAGCGCTATGGAATCTGTTGGCGCTATATAAATGGCAATAATAATAATAATAATAATATATAATATTGTGACAGGGACGGCTGAGGTAAAATGTGTGCATTTATTGAGATAATACAATATATAATATTGTGACAGGGACAGCTGAGGTAAGTTCACTGAGGGCATAGATAATAATGTGAGTTTTATGGTAAAATGTTCAGTGATAGACTATAGCTGTGACAGGGATAGCTGGTGTAAGTAACATGCTGTTATTGAGATAATGGACTGTATTACTAATAATTACACTAAATGGAGAAATAAAGTAAACAGAGAGCAGGTCAGGAGTCCGGATACAAGTCAAGGGCTCATGAGCTGCACCACTGTAACCACCTTATATGGAGCTCCAATGAGGGGGTAACCCTCCAAAATATGTAGGTAATAGGACACCGTGGTCTAACCACTAGTGTCTACCTGAACCAACTCTCCCTACTAAGGTTATAAATAAATAAACACCTAAAAATCAATAACCATAGTGGTAACAAAAATAAAAAAGTGCTACCAAGTGCAGAGATTAAAGAAAAAGAAAACGCTCGACGCACGTTTCGACGTGTTCAAAACGCTGTCGTTAGGAGACTTTAGTAGGGAGAGTTGGTTCAGGTAGACACTAGTGGTTAGACCATGGTGTCGAGGTAACTTTTAGGGTGAATTGAGAGATTTATTTTTATTTTTTTGTGTGAGGCTTTTCATCTGCGTTTAGACCTGATTACCCGGTCCCTTGTTCTCTGGGGACCCTGTGCCTCTTCTCTCTCCCTAACCTCGTTTACACTACCTTCCTGTTAGTCAGACACTAGAGGAACTTGAAATTAGATGCTAGCTAGTACTCCAGACAATCCCCTGGGCACCGTTTAGTAGATCTCCCTTTTTTTCAAGTTGTACTTTTTGTTTGCATATCCCTTTTTATCCTTAGATTGATTAAAGGTAGGGCCTCCCTTCCTCATTTCTTATACAGTGGAGCTCCCCTGATGTTGGTTTCCCCTTGTGGGACTCTACACATCACCTACTCCTATTACCTAATAATTACACTAATATAAAATAAGTGGCTTGTATACCTGAGGGCAAAATATGTTTATTGAGTTAATAGAATAAATTCCAATAAGTCACTTGGATAGCTGAGGTAAAATTTGTTTATTGAGTTAATTAAATAGTATAACTGCAATGGATAGCTGCATTAAAATATGATATATATATTTATATATATATATATATATATATACACACACAATATATTTACATATAGACACACAGTAATGCTGAATTTCATTTGCACTATGCTGCTATACACATTCCTTAACCCCTTAAGGACCAATTTTCTGGTTTAAAAGGGAATCATGACATGTCACACATGTCATGTTTCCTTAAGGGGTTAAAGGGACATGATAGGCACTTTAACATCATCATCGTATTGAAGTTGTTATAGTGCTTTCAGTGCTGGTCACCCTGTCGTAATACCCCCCACCCACCCCAAATCCCAAAATAATCTAAATAAAAGGCGTAGAGGCATATATCTTTGGGTATGAGAGCTAGGAATCTTACTTCCTGGTTCTCGTACCATGACGTCACATGAGCAATGCCATTATGGTCAGCCACTGCGTACAATGATTGTCTATGAAGGAATTGTAGGCGTATCGCGATGAGTGTCATGCACGCACTTACGTTGTCCTCTATGAGGAGCATTGGATTGGCCAGTCTCCAGGATGACCTAAGCCAATGGAGCAGATATTTTTTCGGTCTTGTGTCCAGCACTTGCTTTATATATTGAGTTAATTTAAAAAAATGATCTCTGCAATGTCAAGAAAAGAGATAAATTAGGTTATTTATGGAGATAGTATATCATAGTAAATATGACGGTGAAAAGAAAAGTATCCCGGTGGACCCCAGGTAAGTCAAACCAGTCTAAAACTCTTATGACTACTGAGAGTGGGAGGGAAACTGTGCAATTCTGGCCGCATAACCTTTACAACTCGATTTAGTAATTCTTTGGAGTGTTCTTTTTGTTGGAGCCGTGCCTTCATTTAAAACAGAAAACGAGTCATGCTACTCATAGATTGAGTTTACACAAGGAAACAACCAACAGGAGATTTGAAGACACGTACAATAGCAATAAAGAAGCTAGCAAGTTTGTTTAACATTAGACTTGTGCATTTGCTTTTAAAGGAATTGCAGTTCAGCCAAATTTTGGGCGATGGACGGGTCAGCCAAACTCCGTAATCCTGACTTGTCATATGCACATATCATGAAACAACTGAAACGGACAACGGATGAACAGATGTTTGTTTCATGATTTGAAGTTCCACCTGTGGCGCCAAAAAGAAAAAAGGGTTATTGATGGGAAAACTTTTTTTAAAATTATTTTTCACCAGCAGGGGGACTGCCTGTCACCGCGGGGGCTGATCAGGCTCACAAATACCAGGCGCCTGGGATTTGTTGAGCCCTGTTTATTTATATATATATATATATATATATATATATATATATATATTGGTATAATACATATATATTAATATAGATAAAGCAAAATTATACATATATATTTTTTTAGTTCAATCTGTTATTTTAAATGAAAAAAAAAACAGATATAGACAGACACATGGATTTTGAATTAATGGATACTCACTGGCACACACACAGGCGTGTAGTCAGTGATGCCCACACGTACACATACTGACATATACTCATTAACACACACAGGCACACAAACAAACTTGTGGCAAAACCAACCTCGCCACAGGGCATTGGAGAAGACTGATTGCCAGCCTCCTGCCATGTGACTATGGCCCCTGGGATGTATTGCCCTTTAAGGAACTGATTTGGGGCCGATGGACTTGTATTGGACTGTATTTGGGCATAATGGATTTTTATTGTGCTGTTTCTGGCCCTTTAAGTACTTTGGGAAAGGACCTGCAGTTTTGGCATGGCACTTCGGATGCAGCCGAAGTGCCGAAGTGGCCGCCATTAGAAAATCGAACACGTGGCGGTGGCCATTTTGATTCATTCGAATGCAGTCAGCGGTGTGTGCAGCCAAACTCATGGAACTAAAATCGGCTACAGAACGGCACGAACACCGCTGAAGTTTTACCTTCCCTGGAACTAATGCATTCGACAGTTCATTCAACAGTTCGACAATTCGAATGGTTGTCGTTCGTCTGTTTGAACTGACTTTAACATTGGAAATAGACCGGCCACACAGCCTGATTCTCTGGAACTGTTTTGGGCATGAAATTGTGCTTGCGGTCGGTCAAAGGTGACTTATATCTATCTCCTGAACGTCTGAACGGATTCGAATGATTTTTGGGTATGTTTGTATTTGAAAAATGCTGATTAATAATATGTGCTGATTTATTAATATTGGATGTATAGTTTTAGAGTTATGAAAGTTGGGTAAAAAGTATGTTTCAAACTGTACGGCTAATTGTGTTACCTCTCAGGCTAAGGGGAGGAGATGTGTGGGATGTAACCAGTGTGTGATTGTGTAATTCATAATTGTCTGTGGGCGTCTCCCTTGCACGGGAGAATTGCATAAAAGTAGAGTGTGTGTCATTAAAAATCTGAGTTCTACTTCACCCTCCATTTGGAGTGCTGTCTCTTATTGGATGAATCTGCTAAAAGGGATTGCTATGCCAGTCATACTCTCTTGCTATATCACTACTAAGCTCTTGTAAGAGCTTGTTCCTTTCTTGCTCTCTGAAGGAGACTACGGTGGTTATGGTGTCTGCTGGAGTGCTTGGAGCCCTCAGGAAGTGCTAGGAGCATCCTTCAACGGAGGTACCCAGTCGGGTGCCAGGCGATCCATTACAAAATTAATCCTGCATCCCATACAAACACTGGCACACAATCACTAATGCATACATACTCCCTGACATATACACACATTGCTCCATATTGACAAACACAGACACATTGATCCATACTGACACACACACACACACACATTGCTCCATACTGACAAACACATATTGAACCATACTGACAAACACACACACCCACATTGATACATAATGACACACACACCTTGATCCATACTAACACACACACACACACATTGATCCATGTTGACAAACACACACACATTGATCCATACTGACACACACACTGATCCACACTGACACACACACACACATTGATCCATACTGACACACACACACATTTATCCATACTGACAAACACACACACATTGATCCATACTGACACCCATAAATTGCTCCATACTGACACACACACTTAAAAAATACACACCAAACACACTGACAAATACACCCTCAAATATACACACTCTAAGAATTATTTAAATTAACATGAAATACCTGGGTGCCAAGCCAAGTGAGCCTACCTTGCTTATTGAAATGATCTGTATTCAGCTCCTTCCCAGCAGCCTGCTCCAGCTCTCTCACAGGGCTCCCTGTCTGGCAGCACACAAGAAGCAAAATTTCAGAGGACCCGCGTGGGCTGCCCTGCTCTGCCTGATTGTCAGATCACATGCTTCCTGTGTGTGAAGGCTGTCAGGCAGAGACTACCATACTCCCTGCACTTTCTCCAGGATCCTGCCGGGTGTGTGCTCATTATGTCTCACTCGCGAGCAGCATCGAGAGTTCAATTTCCAGCACTTGCTGCTCACAAGTGGATCAAGTAAAGTGCCTCCTAGAGGTAAGAAGGGACCCTTGCTCCTCAGGCCCCCTAATGTGAGTGTGTGTACTGGGTAGGGGTAGGAAGGGCTGCTGCACTGTGCGGCCCCAAATGCCACGGCCCACCAGGAAATTTCACGGTATCCCGGTGGGCAAGTCCGGCCCTGTCGGTAAACTATGCAAATGCTTGTTTGACCATGATGTCCATGGACCAAGCGTGACAGAACATATCAAAGGATCTGTCTGTATGGCCCATTGTAACAAACTGAAAATAGACTCCCTCTGAACAGACTATATCCACAAATTCCCCTTTTTTCCTCCTATTTTCACAGAATGTTCTACAATTCCCTTTTGTTCTGTATTTTCGTTTAATCGAACCCTGACAACCCCCTTGGCTCGTTGTGCTCTTTCTGGGTGGCCGCCATTCGTGTAACTGAACAACACGTGCTCTAGCAAATGGTGGCCATTTTGTCTCCCAAAAGCAGGCTTATTACATGTCATTGAGTGCCTGGAACTCTCTATCGGACACTATGCTTCGTGAACACCAGAAAATCATATCATTACCTGCTCCATGTCCAGACAAGCCAGAAGAGAGCTTTTTGGGGAAAACACTCCCCCGAACGAGGGGAACATTCACTATGTACGAGCCAGGGGAAAATATTGTTTATGTTTAAATAGGAACTCCCGAAAGTGGACCGTTTTGTAAGGTACCTTGAGTGCCTGGGAGATAATTAGTTTAAGGAAAAGCCAGCTCTCTTATCTCCCAGACACAGAGGCGCCTGGGCGGGCTTACTGTAAACCTGAGTGGAGACCCCATGCGAGGGGTCTGTGTATATAAACTGGCAACTTGGCCCTAATAAAATATTCTGATTTACCCTTCATCAAGTCTTGGCTGATGCCTAGGGATACTAGAGCTATGACACATTTTCACTCTGCGGGGCTAGGGAGACTCTTCGGCAGATACACTCAGTCGAAGTATAGGGGATCCGTTAAAACCATTTAGGGGCGTTTTTACTCAGTGCTGGCCCAAAGAGAGAACCCTATTATAGTGGGGAAATCACCGTCCAACCAAAAGCTTGTAGCCCCCCACTTTGTGGATTAGACCAAATAAAGCTCTGGTTTGTATATAATAGTGTTGAACCCATATCCTCCCACACACTACAGCCCCTATCTGCCTATTAGTATAGCCCCTATGCACACACCACTCCACACAATCCTCTCGGCATACACACACGTTCAACCTAAAAGCAATATCCCACCACACAAGAGCTTTTGAGCATAGCTTTGTGCATGGGCTGGCCTGTAGGGGCATTGAACTGGCATGTCCACTTTGGGGAGGAGTGTGTGTCATTGGTGATAACACAACATGTGTCCTCTGACTCCGCCTCCTCTTCTTGACTGCTCTGCCGTGAAATGCTGATTCCACATTTTTTTGTCCCAGTCTTGCCTGCATAAACTCTTTTGTGTCATTGCTTCTATGCAGGGCCAGATTAAGAGCCCAGTGGGCCTGGTGCTGACAATTATGAGGGCCCAATTACAGAATCTTGTCGACCAAAAACACTAAAACAGTCATACCGATCAAGCGTTATGTATCTAGTGGAGATGGTACCAGAGGGAAACTCATAGAATGCAGCTATATGAAAACGCAGATTCTCTTAAAATATGCTAATCTCTCTCTAATTAATGCTTTCATCTTTCAAGTAAATCCATTCCCCCTCACAGCAGTGTCAAGTGAAGCAGGAAGTCAATGGGCAGTGTAAAAGGGTGGGCCACTGACACGAATCACGTGACCAGAACTTCCAAAAGGAGCAAACATGCACAAAAAGGGGGCATGTCTGCCCAAAGAATTAGAAGGCCAGCCTGGCATCAGTGTCACTATGTATCACAGGGTCAGTGTCCCCATGTCACCCAGTCCACTAGTCTCACAGTGTCTGTGTCCTCATTACTCACAGTGTCCCCATGTCTTTGTATGTCCCTAGGATACTAGGGGACACTGAGAGACATGGGGACACAGTGTCAGGATTACAGAATGATCCAGCACGTAGAACTGTGTATCACAGAGGACTGATAGGTAACGTATACCGGACCTTAGAATGGCCGGACTAATGTACCAAAGAATAGTCAGGAATAGCCGAGGTCAAGGGAAACAGAAAGAGACACAACGATAAGGAAAAGCCAGGAGTCAGGGATGCCAGAAAACAGGGAAGTCAAAAACAATGCCAAAGTCAAATAACCAGAAAAAACAGAATCAATAACACGCTCTCGGACAACCACAAGGGAAACCACGACAGGGCACTGAGCAGGATGAGAACTGGGCCTAAATACCCCTCCTCTAGGTCTGATAGGCTGTAACCGGCCTTTGACCCCAAAGGCAGTTACCAGATCTCATTTGCATAATTGCTGCTCAGCATGAACCCTTCTGTGGATTTGGTTGTTGCTCGGCACAACTTTTCCTGTGTGGACAGTAAATGTCATTAACCACATTTTTGTAAGTGGATGAATACGTGACACACAATGGGGATACTAAGATACAGAGACATGGGAACACAGACACTAGGAGACTAGAGGACACTGGGAGCCATGGGGACACTGAGAGACATGGGAACACTGAGACACTAGGGACACTGGCTGGGAGACATGGGGACACTGGAAGACATGGAGACACTGTCATTATTGTCACCCAATGTCCCTATGTCTCACAGCATCCCCTAGTGTCTCAGTGTCCCAAGGTCTCCCATCTCCCATAGTACCTCAGTGTCCCCAAGTGTCTCAGTGTTCCCATGTTTCCCAGTGTCCCCAAGTGTCTCAGTGTCCCAATGTCTCCCTGCAGCCTTTCCCTTTTCCCATTTTTTTTTTTAAATTGGCCTATTTCATGGGCCTGGGCCTGGGCCTAGAGCTGCAGCTCGATCAGCCCCTATATTAGTCCTGCCCTGCTTCTCTCTTATATACTATCTATGCTGACTGCCAAGTGCAAAGGACAAAGTTAACATAATATTAAAAATCTGACAACTTCCCTATAAAAGAAACATAGAGGTCATGTTATGTGTATGATGGTGTTGATGACAAAAGTCGCAGTTGCTGAGATTTCTAGGCAAAGAAAATCAAACTGAAACATAGATATTTTCTTTAGTATTGTAACTACAGCAAACGTGTTTGAACTCTAAAGGCCCAAGTAAACGAATAATATGGAAATAATTGTAGGAAATTAAAAAGAACAAATGTAAAACTGAAAACATATTCTCAAGTAATAGTAGACCAACATGTTAGTCTTTATGTAAAATACAGAGGAAATAAATAAAAAACAACTGAAAACATATTATATTACCAATGAGAAAAAAAAACATTTTGGTAATACTAAAAAAGACCAGGAAGGTAACAAGTGATCTTACCTTTCTGATACAGGTTTCTTCTATAGTGCATAATCCACTATACACAATACTGGACTAAAAATAGACTGCCCTACAAAAACGAAATCTATTCACAGAAGACGGGCTCATTTACACTTGTATAAAAGAGCTTTTCTTAGCACAGAAAAATCACATTAATATTTAAAATAAAAATAAAATAGTGTAAATACAAAAATAAAAATGTACAACTTGGCCCACAAACAGTCCCCAGTTGTGTGCCTAATATCCAGATCAATAAAGTTGAATGGAATGTAAACTATACTCTTCAATACAACTGATGGACCTCCTTTATTTAGAGGTAGGCAGGGACCTCCTTTATTTAGAGGTAGGCAGTGAGAGGAGCAAAGTATAAATAAAAAAAATTATGGTTATCCACGTCAGGTAACATGGATTAATATAGATTTCATGTAAGAGCTCAGTTATTAGCACCACACCCACAGTTTGCTTGTCAGAATAGGCTAGCTAAATTAAGTCACTTATATACTACTCTTTCTTAAAATGTATGGCTCTCTATAGGTACCCCAGCAGATGTGTGAATACCTGCCTACAACCTTAATAAGCTGCATGTTCACAAATAGTCCTTCCTAATAGTGGTACTAGTAAGTGGAAATTAAACTTCAAGGATCACTATAGTGTCAGGAAAACAAAGTGGTTTTCCTGACACTATAGTGCCCTGAGGGTGCCCCCATCCTCAGGGTCCCCCTCCCGTGGCGCTGAAGGGGTTAAAACCACTTACCTTAATCCAGCGCCGGGCTCCCTAGGCGCTGGTGACCTCTCCTCCCCTGCCAACGTCAGCGGAGCCGAATTCGCATGCGCGGCAAGTGCCGCGCGCACATTCAAAGTGTCCATAGGAAAGCATTTCTCAATGCTTTCCTATGGACGCTCTGCGTGATGGACGCATAATATGCCTCCAGCATCACAGATGCGCCTCTAGTGGCTGTCCAGAAGACAGCCACTAGAGGCTGGATTAACCCCAAATGTAAACATAGCAGTTTCTCTGAAACTGCTATGTTTGCATCTGAAGGGTTAAAACCTGGGGGACCTGGCACCCAGACCACTGAGCTGAAGTGGTCTGGGTGACCATAGTGTCCTTTTAAAACCTCAACTACATAATAATTAGACTAATAGGCAAAACCACCTTCTCAACTGAGTGGTCACGTATCCACGGAGCATTTAGTACCTTTTATCAAACCTCTGCAGGTGACATGGGAGACCATGACTTTCTTTTTATTATTTCAACATGAGTCCACTTTTCATTTATTTCAGTGAAATATCAACACAGTCAATACCAACATTTTATAAAGATTTTATCTTTGTGAAATGCTCATAACAAATTTAATATTTTCTTATTAATTTCTTGTAACAGAGCCGCTTTAAACGTTCATTTCTCAGAGCCACATACTGGGAAAACCTGGAGGTTTGAACCATGCTCAACAGTGTGAGAAGAATTCAGGGAACCGCAAGAAAGTCATTTCAAGTATTTAACATTACTAAAAATCTTCGGTATTGGAAGCATGAAAAGGATGCAGAGCGCATTATTTAAATGTCAACATCTCCATAGCAGTCTTACCAGTTTCCTGCAGCAGACAACAATTACTCAAAGGTATAGTTTGCATAAGCTATATTATAACTTTCTGCTGTTCCTAGACATAAACTGGACAAGCGTCAGAAGCAAAACATCATGGTATATGTTGATTGTTGTAAAAGGGTATCACTGATAATATCAGTAAAAGGGGATATTCGCATACATGGAGGTTTTAGGTTGGTTAGAGCCATGCTTAGCTACAGCTACTAGTGTATGAGCACTCACTAAACTAACAATACATATCTATAAGGATTTATTCTAGTATAAAAGGCTATATATATATATATGTATTTTATTTTCATTTTTTTTATGTTACCAGCACTAGTGATTTGGTGTTACTAAATGAATATGACAGAACATGCACAAAACATGGAACTACAGAGAGTAACGGAATATGGAATGTAAGCGCATTTTAATATTAAATTGTTACGATTTTATCCTCAGATTACAGATGAAAATTAATTATAGCACCCAACAGAAGAAACAAACACCGACATGTAGCCAAATGATGAACATAGTTAGAGTTACTCCGTTATTATCATTGTTATATACCCGATGTAGCGTAGCTTCTATATCCAATAAACAGCCTTATAGAAACAAGAGTGAAATGGTTACAGCACTCTAGGTGAAAACAACAATAAAAAGATTTAAACAAAAGAACTAGTGTAAAAATTAACAATAAATGTGCGTTATGACACAAAGAGATCCATGATTCTACCCTTTGACATACAACCCTATGGAATAAGAGTTGTAATATATCACATCAAAATGGATGGGGCGGACAGACTTATTGCTTTTGCATCACTCAAACAAAGATCAGTTAAGCAAAATTAGATACATAAAGATGCACTTGCAATTGCTCAAGAAGTTGACAGATTGAATGTGTACATTTATGGCAGAGTTTTCTTATTGGTCACAGACCATATTAAGTTCACAAAAAGGAATGTCAACATCAAATGCTTGCAGATTACAAAGTTATGTGCTGTTCCTATCAGACATAGAAATCACAATAAAAGTAAATACTTTATCTAAAGTACATAAAGGAACACTTCAGCCACAATAGCCATTTCATCTCAGGAGAGTGGTGATTGTACCTGGAGTACACTGGCTCCATCATGCTTTAAATAATTTTTTTTAACAGTTTTACACTAAACATGCCTCCCCAGAAGCTGGTCTTTTGCCTTTTGTCCTATGCTTGGAGTAATGTGAAAGAATTAGCTTGAGCTGCCATGGTTCTGCGGCCTAGGGTGGCTGCGGCCCCATGGCTGGCTGAAGCACCCGATCTCCTGGCTCAGGGTACGCAACACTCTGAGGCTCTCATGAATCCCCATTTCTGTTTTACTGAACCAGATCCTAGGTAACCGGAAAACACCGCTGGATGCGTTCGACTAAACAAGATGGCCGCCACCACGTGTTCGAATTTACGAACGGTGACAAATTAAGCTGCGGTTAACCACAAGTCTGGGAGGTTAATAGGCTGCACACTCCACTTGCGTTTGGTCCAACTGTTCGGTTGTGTGTTCGGTGAATGAACACCATGAGCATAATCCACAGTCCTGCACCAAGGTCTAATACAGGGACCATTGTCCTGGGCAAGAGGCTGGCAAGCAGGCCCTTCCAAATACCAGTGGTGAAGTTGCTTTCATCACAGGTACATAGCTATACCAAACCATCTCCTGAGAGACATTCTAAATTCCCACACAGACTTTTACAAATGTGGTACAATAGCATTTGCAAAACAGTATGCCCACCTTTTGGGAAAGTTACTGAGTTTCAATCTGCAGTTAATAAAAAAAAAAAAAGTTACAAAATTAAGGAATGTATAACATGTAACTCAAAACAGATTATCTATTTATTAGGCTGTTCCTGCGGATTGCAATACGTAGGACAAACTAAAAGAATGTTAAAGGCCAGATTGAGTAAACATTTATATACAACAAAAGACAATTTGAAAATCACACACTGTCGTACCACTTTAAAACCCATCATGCAAGTAATCCAGCCTCTTTAACCTATTGTGGAATACAACAGGTTAAATTACCATGGAGGGGTGAGGACCTGATTAAAAGTCTAATATATCTAGAGACATTTTGGATATATAAAATGCAAATGTGGTAACTATAGAAGCAAGCATATACTGAAACACTGTATATCCTACCCTACAGATGCCACTATAAGGAATTTAGGAAATAAAGAATGGATAAAATAGATGTCGACTACCACTGGTTATAAAGCACCCACCCGGGGGTGGAAAATAAAAAGATAAAAAATAGTGAAAGAAGAGAGTAAGTACTTAAACATTCTACCAGGAGTTGATTTGCATATAAAAGGTGTATCAACTAAACAGTGAAAAAAGGATAAATGTTCAATCAAAAACATTAAATAGGGATATCCAATGTACTAACAAATGCTGATTCAAATGCAATTATGTGAAATGAGTCTCTAAAACGTTAGTCCATTAAAGGACCACTCTAGGCACCCAGACCACTTCAGCTTAATGAAGTGGTCTGGGTACCAGGTCCAGCTAGGGTTAACCCTTTTTTCATTTTTTTACGAACGGTGACAAATTAAGCTGCGGTTAACCACAAGTCTGGGAGGTTAATAGGCTGCACACGCCACTTGCGTTTGGTCCAACTGTTCGGTTGTGTGTTCGGTGAATGAACACCATGAGCATAATCCACAGTCCTGCACCAAGGTCTAATACAGGGACCATAGTCCTGGGCAAGAGGCTGGCAAGCAGGCCCTTCCAAATACCAGTGGTGAAGTTGCTTTCATCACAGGTACATAGCTATACCAAACCATCTCCTGAGAGACATTCTAAATTCCCACACAGACTTTTACAAATGTGGTACAGTAGCATTTGCAAAACAGTAGGCCCACCTTTTGGGAAAGTTACTGAGTTTCAATCTGCAGTTAATAAAAAAAAAAAAAGTAGACTGAGCCTGGTGGCGATTGTTATCTAAAGACATTTGATAGCAAATGCAGCGGCACTTACGGTTGGCATCCTTCGAAGGTGATAGAAGTCTGCACCGGCTCGAGTCCACAGGATCAGACTGCAGCACTTTACCGATGGAGTGGTAAAACAGCTTGACACCTCATGCACTGTACTGCACTAATGCCTTAGTGAACTTCTTAGAGATAAGTTCCACCACCTTACTTTGTAAGAGTTTCCACAAAGGTTTTATTAAAAGGAAAAATAAAATATTTACAGTGTTACGCTATGATCGTGTTCTCTCTAATTTAAGGTGGATACATTGTTACACCTGGATTGGATTAATTTCAACTACAAGAGCATAGAGAACAATTCATTACTACTATATTTTACCATAATCAGATATATCCTTTTTTATAAACGTGTTATACATATTGGGACTATAACATTTTTGGGACTTAAACCTTTCTCCCCCCATTTTCTGTCACATAGGGAAATGTCTGCTAAGTGCTGACTCTACTTTGTGTGTTTTACTCTGCTACTGTTAAAGTGCTCTGAGGGGGCCAACAGCGTTAGCATGGCCGATGCTTGAATGATCCTTTCTCTATGGCCCATCTGTGGCATATGCTGACTATCGACCAAAGACTTACCCTGCCAATTTATAATAACCAGTTATTGGGTATTGCATAGATTTCTCCTCTATTGTTATTACCCAGTGGCACTATAATATTATTTTGTCCTAGCATGTTTCACAGCCTAGATAGTTAGTCTTTCCTACGTTCACTCAATGCCTGTGCACCTGACCAGCTTTTTCACGCTGAACCCTCATTAGTTTACTCTCATCACACTGTGTATTTGACTTTTCCTGTTGTTTTCCATTAATATAAAATGAGGCCTGGGAGCTCCATATGTGACATACTGTATTCTATTTTCTTGCTGCATACATTAGTTTTAATTTAGTTTTTATACTGGAATGTCTATGTTGAATACTCATCTCATGCCAGTGTAGTATTGTCACCATTGTACCATTTGTCTATGCGCTTTACGCCTCAATAAAAATTTTGATTGACAAAAAAAACCAAAACAAATGGTCACAGTAAGTAAAACAAAAAAAAAAATAGAGAAATATTATGAAAAGAAGCATGAAATATTAATTCCTGAAAGCTTTTTATTCTTGCGGAAGAATAATTATATTCAAGAAAGTATTATTTATGGTGGAATGCCAATCTATTGGTTGAAGCCTTGTTACAGTTATGGGCATTATATATACAATTTGCATATTGACACATATTTGCATATTGTAAAAAATGAAGAGAAAATACTGCAGATTTTAATATATCCACGTTCCCTTGGATTCTCCTTGTTCAGAGTATTATATTGTATTGTATTGTTGCCTACATGTTTCTTCTAGTTGTGTTTTTTTTTTTAATTCTTTATTTTTGTACTGTTAGAAATGCAGTGGTGTGACAGTATAGGCTTATGCAAAAGCCATTTCATAACACTTGTGTCATAGGATTTACAGAAAGGAAGAATATGTTTGTCAGAACATGTAACCATTCATGTATTGGTATCTGATTTGTTTGCATTTTATCAGGCTTTAACCTTTTTTTTGACATCTTTTGTGTTTAGCACTGATACGTATGCGGTATCTTGGGACTACGTGGCTTACGCAGAAGCCAGGTCACCGTATGTGTATCACGCATTTACAGAAAGGAATAAGACACTTGGTTAGTGCAGGGAGCTTTCTGTTTCAAGGCATTTGGCTTGCATTCCAACAGCGTTTTACCTCTTGGTCCCATATAACGTATGGGTCGCCAAGAGGATAGCAACAGAAAAAGTAATCATAAAAACATAACAGCATGGAAACTTGGATTGATAAAAATCCTGTAATGTATGATGTATTACTGAGTTATCTTAGTCATGGGCGGTCGTGTTCCCTGCTTCCAGCCTCCTCTCCATCGTTCTGGGACTCCCATATAGTTGTGTTTTAATTATTGGATAGTCCTGGTTTAAAATAAAGAATAAGGATAAGTTCCACTTGGATATAATATCTATGCCGGGTCCTTTCATGGAATCAGTGGCATATCTGCTTTCTGATTGTACTACTCCCTAGCAGATGGTGTAGAAAGGAGGCAAAGAGATCGATACATACCTGGAAGAAGGACAGTACTCGTCCAGAAGGAGCGGGCCGAGGGAGATGATATTTGCCTGTTCATTGCTGTGATGGTCCTTGGTGCAGGAGGAGAAGGGACAGATGATGTAGCAGGACAGGCCACTGTGTTCCTGTTACACTATCTATAGACCTCACCTTATTATTTGGCTCCAGTGGCTGAATACAGAGTATGCATAATACCTACTCTTATGCATGCTGTCAGTAAATATGATACTAGAACAACTCAATTAAAATTCAAACTGAGGTTTTAAAGGAAATTTGGAAGTAAACTGAAAATACTGTTGACAGGAGTAAAAGAAAAATATATGGAAAAAAAAACTTTTGAAAGGTATGCTGCAACGTGGCTTAAACATCCACCACAGCACCTTGTAGTGGTTATGGTACTTGGAGTGTTTCTTTAAAGAACAACATCAAATGGGTTGCCTGCTGCAATTTCATAGAGTTGGCCATTATATGGTAACAATAGAATAAAAATAAAAATGCATGGCAATGATAAATTGAATAAAATACAGAAAAAAAGCTTTGATAAAGAACCAAAACACAACCAGAACATAACTAGTATGGAACATTGTAGGAAACATCGAAAAAGAAGAAATAACTGAAGATTAAAATATGTCCAATTTCAATGAATGACAATCAAAAATACAGATTTATAGAAGGAAAAACTCAGGTAACAACACACTTAAAATACAAAGAATTAGAATCCACAGAGAAATGGGACAATATTGGGGGGGAAAAAGTTCTCATGTTGAGAGTATCCATATCATGACATACCATGGGTACAAGTCTACAAACAGCCAGCTGCTGCGAGACATGCCACAATGCCACATCAGGACTGTAGTGTCAGGAATACATGTTAATCCAGTTACAATGCAACTGTATTGCTGCAATTTAAATTCACTACCAGTTTTATTAACTATTCCACCAGATGGCACTCTTTAAACATTTAGAACTATGCTTATTGTGATTACGAATACATTTTATAGCCCATATTTTCCTTTGCTTATTCACTACAACCCTGGAAGAAACCCTCTGCAGAATGGGGGAAAAAAATAATCAAAATTGGAGTGGTCATTTTTTTCATAAAAAGTGCAAAAAACTGGGGGGAGGGCCTGCTCTTCATCAGCTGGACGGACATCATCTGAGCTCCAAGCCTGATCTTCACATTTTGTGATTTAATTGATTCCCAGCTTGTCAAAGAGCCCTAATCTGAGACTTACCTGCTCCAGGAGCCGACCGGGGTGCCTCATATCACTTTGGTTGATCGTATAATGTGCACATATTGTAGACTCCGGGGCCTAGCAGATTCGCCTCCCCTGTACGAAGTGAAGCAGTGCTCCTGCAAAAACATCTTGCTTCCCCATTCGCACTCCCTCTTCCCCCCACCCCCCCCCACTGGACCGATGGGGGTTATCCCGGTCTCCACTAGACAAGAATACACATTACCTACTCCAACCCCAGAAAGCAGCTTGTCCCAACAAGATGGCGTCCACACTTCCCTCTTATGGCACCAAGTCTCTACAGCCGGGGAGGGAATGCCCTGCATTTCTTGAGCACTTCTTAAAGTGACTGGATGTGCACTTCACACAGTTTTGGGCTTCATTAGCAGTACACCTAGCCCAAATGTCACATAAGCTTCCGACGAGCAACCAGAGGAACAGGGGCCATGTGATGGCAGGGCCTACTTCGGGCATTCTTCCAGATACAGCACAAGTTCCCTCTGATGTCCGCCCATCTAGACTGATGGCCGCAAGGGGCAAGACTACTCATCTTCGACTGCACGGACAGAGGACCGCCTGCAGATTGTGTCATTATTCCACCATGGCCTCGTGCTACCCCCATCGGGGGAGGATTGGGACGCCATGAGCCTCCATGTTTGTTGCTCGAAGATGCAGGCCAGCAAACCGGCCTGGGGCTGGATGAGTGCCATGTATCGTACCCGTCCTACTGCAACTCGCAACACTTCTAACAAACGCAGCATGTGTATTCCTGCACTGGGCATCTGCTAAACTGTTGCATGTTGTTGGGGACTGCCCTCTGGATACTTCTCCCAGGAGTTTCCTTCATATTTTGCTGGCTCCACAGATATTTGTTTTTAAGCTGAGGTTTTTTTTTTTCTTTTCCTTCCTTACTTGTCAGAATTGTAAGCCTTGCTGCGGTTTGTGTAAATTCCCGAGAAAAAGGACCCAATGGATTCCTACATATAGTACACTCATGTTTATAGGTTACTCTCTACTATGTAGCTCGACCGGTTTAATGCTTATACGTGTTAGTTCCAATTGTTTGTTTTAATTACCAACAATGTGCTGATATTTTAAATGCCAAGCCTCTGTCATATTATGTCTGCATTTACTAAGCTTGTACTGTCTGTTGTGACACTGCAAGCATACTTGTATCTCCGCACAGCAAAAGTAAAACAAGTGCAATAAATTGCTTATTGTCTGAGCACCACTGCATTCACATAGGGAACGTTTTATATATTATATTTGAATATAGCAGTGGCCTCGCACACTGGTTTTTGGAGGGGCCTGGTTGCCCGCCTCCTACCTTCTGACTGGCCCATGGGAGAGTTTGCCCAGGCAGAGGGGAGGATTTTGTGGGAATGAATGGGAGTGTTTTACTATATATTACGTGTTTGATTGGTTGTTCTTCAAAACCCTGTGGGCGCACTATGTGTGTAAAATGTACATAAAAGCAGAGTGTTTCATTAAAACTTCAGTTACTTCACCCTCAATTTGGAGTCCCATCTCTTATTGGGGGAACCTGCTACAAAAGATTGCTATGCTCTGCATATTCCCTTGCTATAATCACGCCTAAGTTCTTTTAAGAGCTTGTTCCTGCGTCGCTTTGGAGGAAGAGAGGTTCGGTCTGCAGTGCTTATGGTGTCTGGAGAAGTGCTTGGAGCCCTCGTGAGGCACTAAGAGCATCCATCAACGGAGGTACTCGGTTGGAGTGCCAGGTAGAGTTGAGCGAACCCGAACTGAAAAGTTCGGGTTCGTACCGAACATTACGTTTTTTTGGACCCCAGACCCGAACACGGCATATCACTGTATGTTCGGGTTGGAGTTCGGAGTTCGGCGATTTAATGACGCGTTTTGAAAGGCTGCAGGCAGCCAATCAACAAGCGTTTGACTCGTGTGCCCTTAGAAGCCATCACAGCCATGCCTACTAATGGCATGGCTGTGATTGGCCAGTGCAGGATGTGACCCAGCTAGTTGGGGCATGTCTATTAAATAGTGAGCAGCCTGAGCGTTGGGTGGGGGCCCTAAATAACAATAAGGGGGGGACCTATTGTCCTCCCCCCAGCTCCCACCCCTGAGCGGTGGGTGGGGGCCATAAATAAAAATTGGGGGAGGGGGGACCTAATGTCCCGTCCCCCGCCCCTGCGCGGCGGGTGGAGGCTCTAAATAACAATAAGGGGGTGGACCTAATGTTCTCCTCCCCGGCCCCCACCCCTGAGCAGTGGGTGGGGCCATAAATAAAAATTGGGGGGGACCTAATATCCTCCCCCCCAACCCCCAGCATTGCACGGCGGGTGGGGGCCCTAAATAACAATAAGGGGGGACCTACTGTCCTCCCCCCCGGCCCCCACCCCTGAGCGGTGGGTGTGGGTCATAAATAAAAATTTGGTGGGGGACCTAACGTCAAGCCCGAACCCGGACTTTTTTTCAAAGTTCGGCCGAACGCGCCAGACCCGAACATCAAGGTGTCCACTCAACTCTAGTGCCAGGTGATCCGTTACAATAGCAAATGAGCAAATCATAACTAAAACCTTTTTTAATACACTGTGCATATAACCATGTTATTTGATAATTGTAAAGATTTTGATTACATAAACGCAAGGTGATGTAAAAAAAATACAAAATACACACAGACTAATAGTGCAGGTTGTTCCAATTTACAGGCTGTGTATTTACAGTAAATCGTATATAGAGCATATAGTGGACACGTACTGAGACTGTGCTTCACTACATCTCATACATAGAGAGTATAGTCATAGTGGATACATTTACTGAGGCTGTTTCTTCAGAGCAGGGCTGGACTGGGAAAAAAAATCGGCCCCGGCATTTTTCAATCACAGCGGCCCCCAGCTATGACAATCACTCCCCCTCTCAAAGTGAACATGTTGGTTCAATGCGCAGAGCCCCGCTTAAGAGCTTTTGAATGAGAAATTTGTTCTGCGCAGTGCAAACAAATTTAATAACATGCTTGCGCTGTGTTTGCTTTTAATTTGTTTCTGGGGTCTCCATAATTGGGATACCAGAGGACAAAATGACCAGGAAAGAGTATTGAGCATGTGTTTGGAGGCTTCTTGTGGAGTTGCGTGTGTAAAGAGTGAGCTGATTGTGGTGTTGTATTGTGCAAATAGGTCGATTTCAGTTGTGTTTGTGGTGTAATATGTGTGGGTAGGGGATGTAGAGAGTGTGTATAGGCGGCATAGTGTGCAGGCCCCGACTGGCGATCGTGCACACCAGGCAAATTCCCGGTGGGCCGTGGGGGCCATGGACCGAGGCCAGCAGGGGAGATTACAGGATCTCCCCTGCCAGTCTATGCAGGGTCGGCACTATCCGAGCGCCGGCCCTGCTGCATTACATGACGGGCCGGTGGGAAGGTGAAAAGATCATACAGTGTTTTGCAGCCGCCCAAAGGGGAGACAGGGAGGGAGACAGGAGAGGAACCCGGAGGAACTCCAACTTGCAGCTCCGCCAGGTTCCTCTCGCGACATCCAGAGCATTGTCATGGCAACGCTCCGGGTCTCGCCCAGAGTGAACTCTAGCTCCACAGGCTAGAGTTCACTCACCGCTAGCACCACCAAAGGTTAGAAGGGAGGGGGGAAATAATCACTCACACACGCACACTGCACGTTGACACTCACAGCACCCTCACACACACAAGCACCCCTGACACTCACAGCACACTCACTCACGCACACACACACACTGCACCCCTGACATAGCACTCTCACACACACACACTGCACCTTTGACACTGACAGCACCGTCACTCACACACACACTGCACCCCTGACACTCACAGCATCCTCACTCACACACACACACTGCACCCCTGACATGCACATCACCTTCACTCACACACACACACACACACACACACTGCACCCCTGGCACTCAGATCACCCTCACACACACTCACTCTGCACCCCTGACACTCACGGCACTCTCACTCAAACACACACACACACTGCACCCCTGACACTCACAGCACCCTCACTCAAAGACACACACTGGACCCCTGACACTCATTGCACCTCCACTCACACACACTGCACCCCTGACACTCACAGCACCCTCACTCTCACCCGTGACACTCACGACACTCATAGCACCCTCACTCACACACAAACACACACACTGCACCCCTGACACTCACGACACTCACAGCACCCTCACTCAAATACAGGGTCTTTTTCTCATGCTAGAGCTCTTCAGCAGAGCTCTGCGCATGGTCTGCCCTGGAAGAGCATTGAACCAACATGCTCACTTTGTGATGGGGTGTGCTTGTCATAGGTGATGACAAAACACACCCTACTTTGCCCTCCCCCTTTTTAGTGAGCCGCTGTAATTAAAAAATGCCGGGCCGAATTTTCTTCCCAATCCGGCCCTGATAGTGTGTATAGGGGATGTAGTGAGTCTGTGCATACGGGCTGTAGTGTGTGTGTGTATAAGTGATGTACTGTGTGTAGGGGTTGTAGAGAGTATGTATTTAGAGAATGTTGTATGTGTTTGCTTACAAGTGTAGTGTGTGCATAGGGGATCCAGAGTTTGTATGTCAGGAATGTAGTTTGTGTAGGTGGTACAGTGTGTATGTGTGTGTGTGTGGTGGGGGGGGGATTTAGTGTGTATATAGAGATCGAGTGTGTGTATGTGTGGAAGATTAGATGATCCAGAGTTTGGTAAGGGATTTAGTATGTATCTGGAATGTAATGTGTAAAGTGGTACAGTGTGTGTTTGCCAGGGGTGCTTTGTGTGTGTGAGGGGTGCAATGTGTGAGGGTGCTGTGTGTGTGAGTGTGCTGTGTGTGAATATGTTTGGAGGGATTGTGTGTGAGGGTGCTGTGTGTGTGTGTGAGAGGGTGCTGTGTGTGTGAAGGTGCTGTGAGAGGGTGCTGTGTTTGTGATGGTACTGTGTGGCTGTGTGAGTGAGCTATCTGTGAAGGTGCTGTGTGTGTGTGAGGGTGCTGTGTGGCTGTTTGAATGTGTTGTGTGTGTGTGAGAGGGTGCTGTGTGAGTGTGCCTGTGTGAGTGTGCTGTGTGTGTGAGGGTGCTGTGTGAGGGTGTGTAATGGAACTCCCCGTACTCCGACCGAGTACCTTCCATTGATGGACATTTCCTAGCTTGCGTCAAGGACCACAAGCACTGCACCGGACACCACAACCACCACAGACTCCACAACCGCCGTAGCTTAACTGGAGTCTCGCCATCTTCTGTCCACCCTGGATCAGCTTCTGTCCTCCAGGACCGTGTGGGGAAGACCTTTCCTCCAGGAGAGAGTATCAGGAACAAGCTCTTAAAAGAGCTAAGTGATTTAAAGCTCAAGGGAGTATGCAGAGCATAGCAATCCCCAGTGTGAATATAGCTGTCCCCTCCAATCACGAGACAAGACTACGTGTTGAGGGTCAAGAAGAACTGACTCCAATGAGAGTTTATTCCTGCTTATATACAACTTTCCCAGCAAGGTTACCACCCACGTGGACCTTGTGGGGCACTGGAACTGTAAATGTAACAACCAATAAAATAAAGGCACATGGATAAGCACACCCACTTTTTACAATGAGAATCCTTCCCTCTGCTTGGGAGATAATTGAGTTAATTACTGTATTAACAGCCAGTTCCAACAGGTTTGGCAGTGTCCCTGGGACAACGCCCTGCTGGAGAACAATGGGACAGGGGGAGGGGAAGAGGCACACCTTCCCATGGATTCAAAGGGCAGAAAAAGTGTCCCAAAAGATTCAATATGTCCATACACTGTTTTTAAAGGACCATACACCCCAGGGCCATAGTCATGTGGCAGGAGGCTGGCAATCAGTTCCCTCCCATGCCCAGTGGCAAATGACAGTTTGTCACAGGGTGTTTTGTGGCTGTGTGGGTGTGCTGTGGGTGCTGTGAGTGCTTTGCGGGGGTACTGTGTGTGTGAGGGTACTATGTGGCTGTGGGGAGCGTGCTGTGTGAGGGTGCTTAGTGACTATGTGAGTGTCATTTGTGTGTGGGTGCTGTGTGTGTATGTGTGTTAGGGGTGATATGTGTGTGGGAGGGTGCTGTGTGGCTGTATGAGGATGCTGTGTGTGTGTGTGTGAGAGGGTGTTGTGAGTGCTGTGTGAGGGTGCTGTGTGACTATGTGAGTGTGATGTGTGTGTGGGTGCTGTGTGTGTGTGTGGGTGCTGTGAGGCTGTGTGGGTGTGCTGTGTGTGTGAGTGTGCTGTGTGTGTATTTCTGAGGGTATTGTGTGGCTGTGTAAGTGTGCTGTGTGTGTGGGGGGATGCTGTATGTGTGTGGGTGCTTTGGGTGTGTGTGTGTGTGTGTTTGAGGGTACTGTGAGTGCTGTGTGAGGGTGCTGTGTGACTATGTGAGTGTGATGTGTGAGTGGGTGCTTTGTGTGTGTGTATGTGTGTGTGAGGTGCTGTGTGTGTGTGTTGGTGCTGTGTGGCTGTGTGAGGGTGCTGTGTGTGTGTGAGGGTACTGTGTGACTATGTGAGTGTGATGTGTGTGGGTGCTGTGTGTGTGCATGTGTGTGGTGGGTGCTGTATGTGTGTGTGTGCATGTGTGTGGGGGGTGCTGTGTGTGTGTGCTGTGTGTATGTGAGTGTGCTGGGTGTGTGGGTGCTGTGTGGCTGTATGAGGGTGCTGTGAGTGCTGTGTGACTATGTGAATATGATGTGTGTGTGGGTGCTGTGTGTATGTGTGTGGGGGGTGCTGTGTGGCTGTGTGGGTGTGCTGTGTGTGTGTGTGTGAGTGTGCTGTGTGTGTTTGTGAGGGTACTGTGTGCTGTGTGAGGTGTGCTGTGTGTGGGGTTCTGTGTGTGTGTGTGTGTGTGTGTGTGTGTGGTGCTGTGTATGTGTGTGTGTGAGGGGGTGATGTGAGTGCTGTGTGAGGGTGCTGTGTGACTATGTGAGTGTGATGTGTGTGTGTGAGGGTGCTGTGTGTGTGTGTGTGGGGGGGGTGCTGTGTGAGTGTGCTGTGTGTGTGTGTGTGTATGAGTGTGCTGTGTGTGTTTGTGAGGGTACTGTGTGGCTGTGTGAGTGTGCTGTGTGTGGGGGGTTCTGTGTGTGTGTGTGGGTGCTGTGTATGTGTGTGTGAGGGTACTGTGTGACTATGTGAGTGTGATGTGTGTGTGGGTGCTGTGTGTGTGTGCATGTGTGTGGGGGATGCTGTGTGTGTGCATGTGTGTGGGGGGTGCTGTGTGAGTGTGCTGTGTGTGTGTGTGTGTGTGTGTGAGGGTGCTGTGTGAGGGTACAGTGTGGCTGTGTGAGTGTGCTATGTGTGTGTGTAAGTGTGCTGTGTGACTGTGTGAATGTGATGTGTGTGCTGTGTGTGTGTGGGGTGCTGTGTGTGTGTGTGAGTGTGCTGTGAGTGTGAGGGTGCTGTGTGTGTGTTTGTGTGTGAATATGTTTGGAGGGATTGTGTGTGTGTGTGGGAGGAAGACAGATTAATTTAAATATTTTTGATGTGTATTTTTTTTAATGAATAAAACAACAACTTTCCCCCCTTCCCTTCTTCCTTTTTGACTGGGAAGGGGCTTTGTTACTATCCCTGGCGGTCCTAGTGGTGAGGGAACTCTAGCCACTCTCGCAAGATCTGAGCATTGCCATGTTAACAGCAGCAACGATCTGATCTCGAGAGAGGAACCCGGCTATGCTGCTGGCTAATGCTCCCCTGGGTCCTCCTCTCCCTCCCTCCCTCCCTCCCTCCCCAGATGCATGTCAGTGCCTGTGGGCCGGTGAGGGAGATCTTTGATCTCCCCACCAGCCCATGAAGGCACACAGCAGGGCCGGCGCTCTGATAGCACAGGCCTTGCATTGACCGGCTGGGGAGATCCTGTGAGGAATGGGGGGTCACTAGATGTGGGACATTAGTTGGGGGCCCACTAGTAGTGAGAGATGGGGGGCATTAGATAGGGACACACTAGTAGTGAGGGATGGGGGACATTAGTTGGGGGCACACTAGTAGTGAGAGATGGGGGACATTAGATAGGGACACACTAGTAGTGAGGGATGGGGGACATTAGTTGGGGGCACACTAGTAGTGAGGGATGGGGGACATTAGATAGGGACACACTAGTTGTGAGGAATGGGGGGACACTAGATGGGGAGACTCTAATAGTGAGGGATGGGGAGAGCTAGCTGTGTCCTGTGTTGGGACATCTGTAACCACTACACATTCAGTTTTTTCCCCTGAATGGTGAGATTTGTGTGCTTTGTCTATATGTGTATATATATATATATATATATACACATACAATATAGAACAGCTTGGCACTCTCCTTACTTCGAAAAAAAGAAAAGTATCTTGCCTAGGTGCTACCCGCGTTCAAAATATAAAAACATAAAGTCAGGGGTGCACTCACAGGTCTTCAATAAAGTGGAAACTGGTTTATTCAAGTGAAAAAAAATTTCAATACATCCATGAACAAAATCGATTTTGTTCATGGATGTATTGAAGATTTTTTTCACTTGAATAAACCAGTTTCCACTTTATTGAAGACCTGTGAGTGCACCCCTGACTTTGTGTTTATATATATATATATATATATATATATATATATATACGTATATATATTAAATTGTAAATTATTATTAGTTTTATATTACTATTATTTTATTTTTCTAATTTTATTTTAACACACCAGAAGTGGGAAAAGGTGCTGTACTACAACCAGAGGTGTGCTGAGGCTGGTGAGAGTGGCTGGTGTTTTAACTCTGTATCACTGCTCCTTTGTGGTTCATAGAATTCACTTACATGATTACAGGATACAGTTTCATAATGGCACATGGATCAAGGCAGGACTGGACAAATTTCAGGCTCCATGGCGACTTAGAATTTGAATCTAACTTGAAGCTTTTTGTGTGTGTGTGTGTGTGTTTTACAGCATTTTCCCCTTTCCAAATGTATTTTTTTAGTCTTATGTCACTCCTGATTTACATACGAAAAAGTCATACCATGTGATGTCACGCATATGTAATTAATTATGCAAATTAGTATGGCCGTTATTTTTTTCTAAGAAAGGTGGCAACCCAAAACATGAGAAAAAATAGATAAATGAGAGCAGTAAAGTGCACTGTGCAAAAACACTATTATGTGTAACTTAGTGCAAAGAAACTGAAGTGATACCACAAACTTGTGGGAAAAAAGCAATTAAACACTATACTCACACAAGAGTATTCCTCTTGCACTAAGTTACACATAACAGTGTGTTTTTGCACAGTGCACTTTAGTGCTCTCATTTATCTATTTTTTCCACGTGCGTTATTGTATTACACTATTGTATATACATTTTAAGGTTTATATATTTGCACTTTTCAATTTGATTAGTTGAATAATCTTAAAGGCATAGCACACTCTAATTTTAGTTTTTTGGGTTGTATGTGTTTTGAGCTTTCTCGCATTATAGAGTGCTGCTATTTTCACTGTTTACTATTGTATATATCCATTTTAACCCCTTAAGGACCGGACTGTTTTGGCCATGTTGTATGTTCAGGACCAGGGCTGTTTTAACACTTTTGTGGTGTTTGTGTTTTGCTGTAATTTTCCTCTGAGGTGACCCTGCGGCTTACAATAGGCCTACTAGCAGTGCTTAAGAGGGAGGCGGACGATCCCTCAGCCTGTTAGCGAAGTGGAGAGGTTTGAGGCTGTAAGGGTATAGTGTGCTCTGATGCAAAGGCACTGTCTTTAAACAAGCCTGTAGCTCCAGAATCGAGTAATGTCTGGATATTAACGGATCACTCAGACCAGGAGAGGACAATAGGAACCACGGGTTTCCCAAAATCAGTCTTGATGAAGGGTATAACAGGTCTGTCTTTACTGGAAAATGCACAGGTATATATATATATATATTTCCAACAGGGGGTAATTATGAAAAAAAATGCATTGATGCATTGCACAACCTGAGCGCCTTGGACACAGCTGACTTAGCACACAAAAATGTAATTACTAACCAGACACCAGGGTGTCTCACAATAATAACCTTAACAATACATGTTGATAGCTCTGTTGTGGAGGAAGTGGCTAGATTTTGGCTCCAGTTAGTAAAAGTGACCGAGCAATCATCACATCTCTCATTGGGAAATTGCCACTAGTGCCTTTGCACCAGCTATAAATAAAATTTGCCCCTGCAAGCGTTAGCATTATGAGAAAAGTGTTACCTATTGTATTACTTTATAAGTGCATTCTCCGACTTGGCTTTAAAATATGTACTTGAAAGTCTTCTAACCCAATTGGCCATCTTTCCTCTGAATGTTTCCACAAGTCTGCAGCAGTATCTACAACACCAACAGTTCTGGCCAGTCATTGGTCTTGGCTGTGTTCTTCAGAAAGCATGTTCCCAGACCATTGTCTCCCCACGGCAGTAGAAATAAAACAGAACGGCACTAGGAGGTCATGTCATCCTGTCCACTAAGTTGAAATAGACTTCTGAATTCAGTGAGTTTAAAAGATTTGAAGATTCTTTCTTCAGTCGGTGGGTTGAGCGTAAATTAGTCTGAATTCCTAAAATATCTACCAGTGATCTAGTTTCCAAACTCATATGCCAAGTAATGCAATATTTAAGAGTTGGCATGTTGAAAAAGGGGCCATGAGAAATGTGGCAAATGCAGATTTTTGGCATAATCCAAAACGAAGATTTTGAAAGCTCTAATCGTCTTTGGTTGCAGATACACAGTCAGTACACAGCCCTGGCCTGGAAGACCTATTAAAATTAAAATTTAACCCTAATCTATGAGTGAAATCATTAGCATGCTATGCATATTTAAATGTGGGGTGTATTCCACACATTTCAGATGGCATGTCAGTTTTAGGCCTTTTCAAGGCTGATAATTATATTCCGACACCTTATTCTTTACACAGTAAGATTTGCCAAGCATGACCCTCAAAAAGATAAAACAGCTTTGTAGTTAGATTTAATTTACTTTAATCTGTTCACTCCTTATAATATTACAATGTTGTATGATCAGTTTAGTTTCTTTAGATTACACGAACATTATCATATATGAAACCAGGCCACCTTCTTTCTGTAGCAAATCCTGTTTATATTTTGCACAGAAGCTCTCCTCTCTCCTGTACCCTACTAGCCGTTGGCACTGAACTCTTTGTCTGTGTAAATAGCATGTTCCTGAATATAATGGGTGTGTGCGGATGCCTGGGAGGTAAAATGCGGGTTATTACAGTGTATTTGTATATCTGTATGCCTGTACTTTATTGTCTGAATATTTTCAACATTACAGTGTTTCCCTCTGGTCAAGTGAATATATCTGTATTTCTGGCAATGTACATACATAATTCATTCTATTCCTATACTATATTTAATGATTCAGGTAGCAAAGTTTTACATAAAAATATGGGTGATTCACATTAGTCAAGTCACGGTAATAGCAGGGACCGTGAGTTTTAATGTGATGTTTACTTTGCTGTATTTCAACAAAAACGCCTAGATCAGGCCTGTCCAACCTGCGGCCCCCCCAGATGTTGCCGAACTACAACTCCCATGATTCTTTCAATGAAGCAGATAGCCAGGGAATCATGGGAGTTGTAGTTCGGCAACATCTGGGGGGCCACAGATTGGACATGTGTGAGCTGTGCCGGCCGCCTGGCTCCCCCTGCTCCCGTGGGACTCTGTGCGGCCGCACAGCTCACACATGGCCGGCCGGGATCACAGGAGCTGTCAGCCCAATGATTAGGGCTGTCAGACCGGCCCCAGGTGCCGCGGCCCACCGGGAAATTTCCCGGTATCCCGGTGGGCCAGTCCGGCCCTGGCAGTAGGGTTTTACCTGCAGTTTATTTTCTGTAATTTTCTATTTTACTCATTAAAAGAGTCTTGCAAGTGACCTGACAGTTAATTCCAAATTTAAGACCAAACTAGCCGGATTGGAAAAATTCTCTAACTGAGCTATGCTTCCAGTTTGTCTGCCTTGACCTTAAATTTGAAATTCACTTAGAATGCTCACTTTGGTGAATAACTTTGTTAATGTGGATATTAGCTAGGAATATATATTACAACTGTTATAATAGTCAGTAAATGCTTGGATATTCACCTCACCTGTATGTATGACCAAATAGTCATCAATGAAGCGACCATAATAATAGATATAAACCAGCAGTTAGCTACCAGCATCAAAAACATTCCTTCCACCAACTCCTATATAGAGGGGTGCAGCATTTGCCCCTGTTGTTCTCTGTTGTTGAAGATTGTAACTTCTATCAATAAATGCAAAACAAAAATGTGGGGCACAAAAAAAATACAAAACAGTCTACCAAAAATGCCTGCAAATAATTGCATTTTCTATTTATTGCAGAATTATACTTAAGTGCTTTTTATTGTAGGGGGGTGAAGGTCAAACATTTAACAATAACTGGATAATGTTGTATTTGACGGTAACTGGCTAGTTTTGCGGTATTTGGTAGTCAAGGCATTTTTTGTTTATGAATTAAAATAGAACATGTTTGGACTGCTACAACATATTGTCTGTAGACGTAGGTACTGTAATTAAATTCCTTGTTTTTATATTTGGGATTCTTGTAAATTGAGGTAATTTATCCAATTGTCTGAGCAAAGGATCAAAAGTCATATTTAATATTATCAGTGAAAGTAGACTGCCCACTCTAACTTTATAAAACTTACATGTGCCAAGTCTTAAACATCAGTAGGATGCTAGACATTTGGAGTATTATACCATGGTTCAAGTTTAAAACATTTTTCTATTGTTACTAGTACCCATGCCTTGCATTCCAGCTTCTACATTGCTGAATCTCTTTCTGAGGAGAATCACGGAATTGTATGTCCTAGTCTCCATCAAGGGTCAACTACTGAGAACTTTCCCTTGTCCTTTCCTGCTTTCATCTGTCATCTGTTTCCTTTCCTGCTCCAAGAACCATCTCATCCCATAGCTCTAGACTTTAGAATATAGACTAACTAAACATTATTAGTTAATCATGTTGAATCATAGTCTTTTCTACAATTCCTGTTACCTTTCACCCCGCTTTACCTGCAACCGTCTTCCTTTCATCCATAGGTTCCCAACAGAGGTTCAAGGGGGCAATCAGCCCCCTCCTCGGTTGTGCCATGTCTCCCCGTTTTGAACTTCATGGCCGGTCAGGAGATCAAAGATCTATCTTACTTATCAGGCAGCACCAAAGTTGAGTGGGAGAACTTGTTTTACAATGGCTCTCACTAAATGCCCCAGCGCTGGGGGTGCAGATAAGCATACAGTTAGGTCCATAAATATTTGGACACTGGCACAGGTTTTGTTATTTCAGTTGTTTACCAAAATAAATTCAAGTTACAGTTATATAATGAATATGCACTTAAAGTGCAGTCTCTCAGCTTTATTTTAAAGGGTATTCACATGCAAATTTGAGAAAGTGATCAGGAATTACAACTTTTTAATATGTAGCCCCCACTGTTTTAAGAGACCAAAAGTAATTGGGCAATTGACTCAAAAGCTGTTCCATGGATAGGTATGGGCAATTTATTATTGCTTCTTCAATTAAGCAGGTAAAAGGTCTTGAGTTGATTCCAATTGTGGCATTTGCATTTAGAAGCTGTTGCTGTCAAAGGAGCTCTCAATACAAGTGAAACACGCCATCCATAGGCTGAAAAAAAAAAAATCCATCAAAGACATAGCAGGAACATTAGGAGTGGCAAAATCAACAGTTTGTACATTTGAGGGAAAAAAAGAACACAGTGACTTGAATGAGTCAGACTCTCCTTGAGGAGAGCAGGCAAGTGTGCATGAGCACTACTGGAAGGGTGAATGCCCTGAACCAGGCTCCCGGAAAGATAAGACTCCGAGGAGCGGCAAGCCCCTCTGCAATCGGCCAGACGGCTCTGCCTATATGGCGCGGGGAGGCGATGACCACCGGACGCAGCAGTGACCACCTTCTTAAAAAGGCAGACGACTTGAAGGAGTCAAACTCTCCGAGTGGAGCGCATAAGCACTATGGGTAGGGTGAAGGCCCGGAACCAGACGCCCGGAAAGATTAGACTCCGGAGAAGTGTCTAGCCCTGATCCGATTGGCCTTGATGGCCAGACAACACTGCCTATGTGGCGCGGGGTGAAGGTCCCCATAACCCCCCCCCCACCGTGGCCGCCCTAGCTGAATGGCGGGCGGACCGGTTCCCCTCGGAGGAAGAGGATGATGGGGGTGTGGATTATGATGACGTCCCCTAGTGGCACCATGAGATGTAGAACAAAGTCCACTACAGGGGCTCCGACGATCGTGGAAGAAGAGGTCGTCTTGTGGATCGCCTTTAACGAACCCCTGTTCGACCCTCGATCCATTGCTCACCTGGTTTCTTTGGAATGGCACCGATCACCTAGCACCATCAGTGCATTTCTGGACCCGTACACCGCTGGCTTGAGAAGCCCGCAGGATAATTCGAGTGGTATTCCAAGCCGGGCTCCCGAACAAAGTAGCCGCAAACCCAGACTTAGACCCCGATGGGGCACTGCGGTTTTGCTGGTTAAGCACCTGTCTAGTATTCAGGTGATCCTGAGTGCGGCCCACTGCAGTGCCTATACTATTAAGTCCGCACTGGCAAGCCGATTGTTTTCCGCTACACGAGTGAGTTGTGCTAGCGGAACATACGAGAAAGTATAATATGTGTCCTTTATACATGGAAATACTTGACGGAGGCTTATCTCAGCTCCAACCCGTACCTTTTATAGGGGATTGGACCCTTGACCCGGAATTTCACACTTGCCTCCACTTTCGGATGACATCCAAGATGGGGCCCCGAGTCTGGGGTGGAAGACGACCCTATCCTAAACGCAATTTGGACTACTGGAGGTGCTTGGGATAAAGGGATCTTAGCCCCTCAGAGTCCCAGCACGAGTCTACGATTGAACGTATATTCATTAGTTACTTTAAATTAGACGCGGCCCTCAAGGGACCGCGGGGCCCAGTTCTGGTAAGGTAGCCTCTATTTTCTCCCTGGTGAGATAGGTATCTTGTGCATCAGTCATTTGGGCGACAATACAACCTGGTTGGGAGGAATTGAGGACATTCAGGAATACCAGAACTATCTGAAGAGATCTTTCTCGTTTTCCACGCGTTGGGACCCGGACGCGACTCTTCATCAATATAGGACATCTTGCTGTACGGTCTACCTGGAGGGGCTTTCCGGACCCCCTGCGAGGTACCTCCCAGACCGAAAGGTCAGACGCTCCCTGCGTTTTCCCGTGTTCGAGTCCCTGGATTTCGTTTTCAACTAGGGAAATATCGACCTTCTCTACATCTCAAGGAGTAGAGTCCTGGAGGGCAGATTGGACGCAAGGGGGTGCCTCCTACGCTCTCCTCTGCCCGAGTTCTCGTACGTATGGAATAGTTTTTCTGGGAGAACCCGGCATCAAGACTTTATTTCACGGAGGAGGACCCTTCAGGCCCCGACCAGTTCGGCTGGATGACGGACTTGTTTGCTCAGCGATGGACACTTCCCTCCAGGAGTGTTCGACACAGAGACGCGGACGAGTCTCCTCCGTTTGTTTGGTCTCAGGACCTTTCTACAGGTGCCTCGGTCTGCTGGTACTTTGGAATTATGATCTCCGCTTTGGCAGAGTCGAACCTAGTTCCTGGATTCCCTGGACTCTTGCTCATTTGATCTTGGGGATTGTGGGAATTCCCTTTATGATTCCTGAGGATGGGTATTCATCTCCCCAGGGGGTACACGCATTTTTGTCATGCTCCTATGGTGGGTTCTGTCGAGTTTTGCCCATTCACTGATTCTGGATTTATTTCCGTTATTATACCTTGTTTTTCTTTCAGATGGATCTGCGGTTTGGACCTTAGTTGTCTATCGGTCTTAGTCGGACCCGAGGGTCATATTCTTACTTTGGTAGCGCTCCCATCTTTAGGCGATGTTCAACGTTACCGTTTGTTTAAATGGTTCTTCCCTTTTTCTCGCCCTTCATGTACGGCTTGGTTGTGGTTGGCATTGGCGGGCGTATAGTTTTTTTTCGGTTCACTTCAGTCCGTAACATGGCGACTTCAGGTACCGACATGGCAGGTGTTTTTCTCCAAGACATCTTATGCTTTCCTGTCGGTTACGAGGAGCTAGCTTCGCAGAGTTTAGGTTGGTACGGCGGATCGTGTTTCTTTGGTCTTTGTTGTCTGTGCGTTAAAACAGCAAATATGAAGCCCTCTGTCATGCTATAAAATTGTAGATTATACTAGCTGTAGTGTAACTATAATCTTAATTTTATTAATGACAGGAGGCGAATATTTCCTTCCCAGTTTCTCCCTCCCCTTGTTGTTTGTTGGTTTGACTGACTTGTTGTTTATTCACCTGGTCTCGGTTGCTTATCTGGGGGAGTTGGGGTTTATCTGGGATGTGGTACCGTCAGTATTTTATGATGGGGATTCAGGTTTTTTCACTATCTGGGATATTATACTGTCAGTATTTACGATGGGGATTCATGTTTTCTCAGTAAATTTCATTTGCTAATCAGTGTTTTCGACTCGTTTTTTTATCTCGTTTTAGTTTAATGGTTTGGCTACAGTTCTTAGATCCGACTACTCTACAGGATAAAGGTCAAGGCTTCACCCACTGGTTCCACGTTTTCTATTTCGGATGGCATTCATCGTTATCTTATGTTGTTTCTCCTGTTATTGTATTTGTGGTGTATTGTTAATGCACTTTATTTGTCGCAGCGTGAAAGAGGAAATAGTTAGTTGGGAGAAGCCTTTTATAGTTTCCTGATTTTTTTTTTTTTGTCTCTGGTGTTTTTATCTCTTTGTTAATGTGCCACTGTGGAGTTCTAGTAAAGAGAGACTTAAGCAAATATTCACCTCCTGTCATTAATAAAATTAAGATTATAGTTACACTACAGCTAGTATAATCTACAATTATAAATGAACCTTGTTACACCCCCATGGCTGTCAATCACACAACCAGTCCTGTTATTTCCTGGTAGTTTAGCTTAGTGGAGCTAAAAGCTAGAGGCAGACAATTGCCCAGAATACCATGTCATTGAGCGACATTGGGAAGTCTGTGATTTGACAGCCACAGACAGTCTGGGCGGGGTTAGAAGGGGAGGGCTGGCAATGGCTTCCAGCAAGAGATCTCTAGCTTTTGCAAGCTGTTTTTAGATAAACCCCAATGAAAAATGCCTAATTAAATGAATGCATGTTTTCATTGGAGTTAAATCTATTACATAGTGATTTTATTAAATTTTTCTGTCTGGGAAGTGGAGGGTCCCTTTAAGAAATTCAGTCTTCAATAAGTATCCCATTTACTACATTGTTCTCACGATATGCATGTGAGGGGGAAGAGGAGAGAAATCATGATACATTTATATAAACATAAAAATAACATTTATTGAAGTAAAATATGCTCACTTTTTAAATATCAGATTGCTGTCTGGGTTCTGCTTAACCAGTGGAATAGTTTAGTTTATCCAAAATATCCATGCTTAAAGGGAAATGTATCACTTTGAGACAACCGTCTCATTCAAAAGCTTTAGCTTTGAATCAAACAGTAGCCTCTCTTTGCAGGCTGAAAAGAAAAACAGGTAAATGTTTTTTTTTCCATATTCACCAGGTTCTTCTTTGCTATGCTTTCTATACCGACTCCAGGGGGGCATGATCAAACCAAAGTGTCCTATCCCTACGAATGCTAGAAAAGTGCATTGGGCATGCCTTACAGATTTACACATGTGCAGTTCAAGATCTCTTCTGCTTATGTACAACAATGCCCTGTTTTTCTTATTAATGGACTGGTCTGAAACTAATGTGAGTAAGTAAGAAGGGAGGGCTGATGAAACTCTCCTAGCCGAGAGGCGTGTCCAGCAGTGCAATCTGACCAAGTTTATAGTAAGTTTATAAATGTATATATTTCATATCAAAGTTTATCTTGCTTTAATTTTGTTTGCGTATTTGTTTAACCCCTTAGTGACCGCGGACGTACAGGGTACGTTAGCCAAAAAACGGTCATTAACGACATCCGCAGCCAAAATGAGCGCTGGAAGCTATCGTGATCTCTTCCAGCCTCTCTAAAGGTAATACACGACGCCTCGATATCAAGGCGTAGTGGAATACCCCCCCTCACTGACGGGCACCCGAGTGATCGCTCCCCCTGGAGCGATCACTTCCGGGTTGCTGCACTTGGCACCTGGCAGTGTAGTGCAGAGCATCAGAAGCCTTCAGGCAGGCTTCCGATGCTCTGCCTGTAATGAGGGCCTCGAGGGGTCGAGGCACTCAGTAAATGTTAAAAATAAAATAATAATTACCGGTACTTTAAAAAATTAACCCCCTACCCTCCCTCCCTCTTCCTCCCCATGTACCCCGCCGGCAATCGGTCCTCTTCTGAGGACTACATATATAATATAAATGGAAAGAAATAGTTTTTTTTATAAAAAACTAATAAAAACACTAACTTTGGCCAGCGTTTGTGACTAAGTGGCTACTACAAAAGACTAGACATACCCCATTTTGAATACCCTGGGTTGTCTACATTTGAAAATGGTATGCCATTAGGGACCGCGGACATACAGGGTACGTCAGTCAAAAACGGTCGTAAACGACGTCCGTGGCCAAAATGAGCGCTGGAAGCTATCGTGATCGCTTCCAGTCTCTCTAAGGGTAATAATTTTCATTCCTGGGCTGCTATACGGTCTCAAAGGCAACATAGGCCCAGCAAACCAAACTGGCAAATTTCAATTTCCCTACATTTGACCCCTGTAAGTTTGCAAAAACCCATAAAACCTGTACATTGGGGGCACTGTTGTACTCGGGAGATGTTGCTGAACACATATTGGGGTGTTCTTTGTCAGTAACACATAACAGGAACTGAGAATCCATGCCTAAAGTACAATGTGAGAGAAAAATAACACAAAAAATGACTACCCAAAAGTTTGACAAAGACTGGTGGTAGAATTAGTGCATGGAAAGTGTTAAAATACCACCATTTGGGGTGTCTACTTTTCAAAAATATATGGTTTGATGGGGGTAAATGACATTGACCAGCTTCAAAAATGTCCCAAATAGGACATGGGTGCATGATGACCAGCTGTGAAAATTCCAATTTGGAAAACTGGAATGCGCACAATCCAAATGAGGTCTTTTTTTAGCCCCCAGAGAACCCGACACACCTATACATAGAGGGTATCACTGTACTCAGGAGATGTTGTTGAACACATATTGGGGTGTTCTGTGGCAGTAAATCTTAAAAATCTCTATACATGTATTCTTAAATTGCTATGTGTGTCAAAAAAAATCACAAATTATTATTTTGTAACATTTTTTGGCATAGATTGGTGATAAAATGGCTACATGAAAAGTACCCCAAGTTTAATACCTTAGGTCGGGCATAGGCAACCTTCGATACTGCAGATGTTTTGGACCACACCTCCCATGATGCTTTGCCAGCATTATGGGTGTAAGAGTATTATGGGGTATGTAGTTCACAACATCTGGAGTGCCGAAGTTTGTCTTCTTTTAAAAAATATATACATGTGAAGGGTTATTCAGGGATTCCTGACAGGTATCATAATTTTATAATTATTTGTTTTCTAGTAAATTATATGATATGATGAAAATAATGATAGCTTTAGAAAGACTATTTAATGGCGAGAAAAATGGTATGTAATATGTGTGGGTACAGTAAATGTGTAAGAGGACTATTACAGCTAAACACAAACACAGCAGAAATGTAAAAACAGTCCTGGTCCCAAATGGTAAGAAAATTTAAAAGTGGTCTGGTCACTAAGGGGTTAAAGGTGTTTGCTGGTTTAAAAACAGAACTGTCAACTAATGCATGTCCCTTTAAAGCAATGTTCTTGTTTTTTTTCTGCCCTTGTGATGTTGGGCTTTATGGGTTATTTATCCTTCTTGCCTTTTTTGATTAGACTAGTCAGAACCTTTTTTTGTAATTTAGATTTTATATTGAATATCTAAAGCAGATATAATACATATGAATAGCTAAAGCAGATATGATACATCATACAGTTGCAATAACTCACAATTAGAGATGCACCAAAATTTCGGGCCTATCCCGTTTCGGCCGAAAACGGGTCAAATTTGACAAAATTTATTTTTTATATTTTTTATTTTTGTAGTACATAGTTTAACAGACATGCTTGCAGGGGAGGGGGCCACTAAAAGAGAAGGGAGAAGGGAAGTTTTTCACAGTAGATTAATTAAATTAATTAAAAATTCTAAAATTTATAAAATTATAGGAAAAAAACTTTAAAAAAAATCATTTTGGGGGGGAGGGAATGTCATTTTCGGTTTCGGTATTTGGCCAAGGGCATCTTGAATTTTCAGTTTCGGCTCAGAATTTTCATTTTGGTGCATCCCTACTCACAATACAATATAATTGTAATACAATGCACAAATGGATATCTGTAGAGTCAGCAAGTCAGCACGTCACTGGAAGGATAGTTATATTCCATTTTAACTGGCAAGATGTTGCCACATTACCCCACATCATCTCTTCCCGCTCTGATTGCACAATGCAACATGCTATCATCATGTAAAAATGCTCAGCATATTTCTATATAGTGTGTTAACTGTGATCTGTATATAAACATACTCCGTATCATTATATACAGCACTGTGCTCATTATTATCTATATGTAAAGATCCTCAGCACCATTGCACCTAACGCTGTCTTTCTTATCATTTGTACATAAAGATATTCAGCCATTATTATATATATATTATTGTGCTTATTTGTTGTATAAAATTAAACTCTGCATCGTTATTCGTAACAGTGTGTGCATTACCTGCATTTGAGGATACTCTGCATCATTATATTTCTGTCACAGAAAATACTCACAGTAAAATACTCATTGTCACTGTACAGACAATCGTTATTCAGTACATTCATGCATTACACTGACACACAGACCTGCAGGTGGTGCCAACACTGCGTGTGTGCAATTAGGAACCCTGGGCTGAAATGCTATAGAATTCCTTCTGTTTTAGCCATTATGTTAAAATAGATATAGCATATTACAAAATACAGTGCCTAGCTATCACATAGCCTGTTCATTTTGTTAAATCTTTAATGTAAAATTGTGTATTAGTTGTTGGTAAACCACCAGGGGTTCTAACTATCTCTGGCTAATTTGAAGATTATAACAGAATGAATATGTGAAAGTTTATTGATATGTGCGTATGTTGGGGGGGAGGTTTCGGATGGTCACGTGAAAGAGATAATTGGAGTTGGAGGAAAACGTATCCTTTGTCAAAAAACATAGCAAATATCCCAGAGCTGGTGAGACAATCCTAGATTGGGACCCCTGTCACAATGTCTCAGATTTTTGTTTGGTGTTCAGCTTCTGTGGATACCAGAGAAACGATCAAAAAGGTGCGCCCTTTCATACCTTCCAAATTTAGCGGTTAAGTCTATTTTTTGTTTTGTTCATGTACCACTTAAAGGCAATTTATATGATAGTTATATGCTGAAAAGAGACTTGCGTCCATCAAGTTCAGCCTTCCTCACATTTGTTTTTTGCTGTTGATGCAAAAGAAGGCAAAAAACCCAGTTTGAAGCACTTCCAATTTTGCAAACCAGGAGAAAAATTCCTTCTTGTCCCCAGAATGGCAGTCAGATTTACCCTTGGATCAAGAAGTTAGTACCCTGCATTGAAAAATGATATCCTTGAATATTCTGTTTTTTGCAATTATGCATCTAGTTGCTGTTTGAATATCTCATCTTTGAGTTTATAATTTTAACTGGTTTTGTATTTAAACAGGGCCGTCTTTAACAAGGGGCAAACGGGGCAGCTGCCCCGGGCCCAATAACTCTTGGGGGGCCCAAAGCAGCTACCCCGTGGGCCCCCTGCCCGCAACCAGGACTGAACAGCCCACCAGTATACTGAGAAATTTTCCGGTGGGCTGCGGCAAGTGAAGTAATCAGGGCCCCCCGGCCCTTTAAGAGTGCTCCTGACCGAGCCCCTGTCTGTATGCCTGCTGGGAGGAAGTGAGGTGAGATCACTTCCTCCCAAGTAACAGAGTACCGCTGGGGAGGAGGAGACACACATGGAAGTGGAAAAGAGGGAGGATGCACACAGGAGGAGGAGGTGGAGGAGAGGGACTGAGGTAAACATGTTCATCAGACTCCCATCAACCTCAGCCATCCAGCTTCCACTAGACCCCAGGGAAGCCACCCTTCTCTAAAGGTAAGGAGACAAGAGGGTGGCTAGACTTAAATTGATATAAATGTGTGTGTATCTGACTGTGTGTGTATCTGACTGTATATGTGTGCATCTGACTGACTGTGTGTGTGTATCTGACTGTATGTGTGTATATCTATGTGTGTGTATCTGACTGTATGTGTGTGTATCTGACTATGTGTGTGTATCTGACTATGTGTGTGTATCTGACTGTATGTGTGTATATCTGACTGTATGTGTGTGTATCTGACTCTGTGTGTGTGTATCTGACTGTATGTGTGTGTATCTGACTATGTGTGTGTATCTGACTGTATATGTGTGTATCTGACTCTGTGTGTGTGTATCTGACTGTATGTGTGTATATTTGACTGTATGTGTGTGTATCTGACTGTATGTGTGTGTATCTGACTGTATATGTGTGTATCTGACTGTATGTGTGTGTATCTGACTGTATATGTGTGTATCTGACTGTGTGTGTGTGTATCTGACTGTATGTGTGTATATCTATGTGTGTGTATCTGACTGTGTGTGTGTATCTGACTGTATGTGTGTGTATCTGACTATGTGTGTGTATCTGACTATGTGTGTATATCTGACTGTATATGTGTGTATCTGACTGTATATGTGTGTATCTGACTGTATGTGTGTGTATCTGACTATGTGTGTGTATCTGACTGTATATGTGTGTATCTGACTGTGTGTGTGTATCTGACTGTATATGTGTGTATCTGACTGTATGTGTGTGTATCTGACTATGTGTGTGTATCTGACTGTATATGTGTGTATCTGACTGTGTGTGTGTGTATCTGACTGTGTGTGTGTATCTGACTATGTGTGTGTATCTGACTGTATGTGTGTATATCTGACTGTATGTGTGTGTATCTGACTGTATGTGTGTGTATCTGACTATGTGTGTGTGTATCTGACTATGTGTGTGTATATCTGACTGTATGTGTGTGTATCTGACTATGCGTGTGTATCTGACTTTATGCGTGTGCATCTGACTATGTGTGTGTATCTGACTTTATGCGTGTGCGTCTGATTGTGTGTGTGTGTATCTGACTGTATGTGTTTATCTGACTGTATGCTCTCTCCTGGTGCTCCTCCTACCTCTCCCAGCGCTCTTTCAGTGTTTCTTTCTCTGGCTCTGCTTCTTCTCCCCAACTTCTCTCTGTTGGCGTCCCCCAAGGTTCAGTCCTTGGTCCCCTACTGTTCTCCATCTAAATTGCCTCCTTTGGTAAACTCATTAGCTCTTTTGGCTTCCAATATCATTTCTATGCAGATGACATGCAAATGTAGCTGTCCTCTCCTGATCTCTCCCCGTCCCTCTTGACTACTGTCTCTGACTGCCTCTCTGCTGTTTCTAACTGGATGGCTGCCCACTTCTTTAAACTAAACTTGACCAAAAGTTGTTACTCCTGTGTCTGTCTCCCTCCAAGTCAACAGTGCTACCATCAGCTCCACCACGCAGGCTCGCTGCTTAGGTGTTCTCTTTGACTCCGACCTCTCCTTCAAGCCTCATGTTGAATCTATCGCCAAATCCTGTCATTTCCATCTCTAAAACATTGTGCGCATTCGCCCCTACTTAACGCCAGATGCGACTAAGGTGTTGGTCCATTCCACTGTCCTTTCTCGCCTTGACTACTGTAATCCGCTTCTCAGTGGTCTTACGTGCTCCCAATTTGCGCCGTTACCGTCCATAATGAATGCGGCAGCGAGGCTCATCTTCCTGTTTGCCCGCACCTCCCATGCCTCACCCTTCTGTCAGTCCCTACATTGGCTTCCTATAAAATATAGAGCTAAATGTAAAATTCTGGTTCTTGCTTTCAAATCTCTACATAATGCTGCTCCCACCTATATATCCTCCCTTATACACAAGTATGTCCCGTCTAGGCCCTTACGATCTGCTGAAGACTTACGTCTATCTTCTGTCCGCACTCCCACCTCTGATGCTCGCCTTCAAGATTTCTCGAGGGCTGCACCATTCCTGTGGAACTCGCTTCCCTCCTCCGTTAGATGCTCACCCAGTCTCCACTCCTTCAAAAAATCGTTAAAAACCCACTTCTTCATAAGTATCAATTAAACTGTTAATAGCTCCTGACTGATTCCTCTTCTGCAACTGTCACTAGTCTAACACTATCCTTACCTTTTTGTGCCATTTTACCCAACTCCCTCTAGCATGTAAGCTCATTGAGCAGGGCCCTCAACCCCTCTGTTCCTGTGTGTCCAACTTGTCTGGTTACAACTACATGTCTGTTCGTCCACCCATTGTAAAGCGCTGCGGATTTTGACGGCGCTCTATAAATATCATAATAATAATATGTTTGTGTATCTTACTGTATATGTGTGTATATGGGTGTGTGTATCCAACTGTGTGTATGTATCTGACTGTATGTGTGTGTATCTGTATGTGTGTGCGTTTGTATCTGGCTGTATGTGTGTATCTGGCTGTGTGAGTGTCAGTGTGTGTGTATCTGGCTGTGTTTGTGTCAGTGTATGTGTACCTTTGTGTCAGTGTTTATGTGTATCTATGTGGATGTATACCTGTGTCCGTGTACTTGTGTGTCAGTTTGTATGTGTACCTGCGTGTATGTGTATCTGTGTATGTATATGAGTGTCAGTTTGTGTAAGTGTGTATCTATGCGTGTGGCAATGCATTCGTTCCATCATTCCAGTACCAACACTGCACACATATACACTACTACATTCCAACGCCAACACTGCACACAAATACACCACTGCATGTGTATCTGTGTTCCTGTGTGTATCTCAGTGTTTGTGTAAGTGTGCATCTGTGTGGCAATGCATACATCCCAGCATTCCTTCTCCAACACTGCACACAAATACACCCCTGCATGTGTACCCGTGTGTCTGTGTGCATCTTAATGTGTGTACATATCTGTGTCAGTGTGTGTAAGTGTGTATCTCTGTGTGTGGATGTGCCAGTGTTTTTATCTCTGTATCTGTGTGTGTGTGTGTATGTATGTATGTGTCTGTGTGTGTATACGCCAGTCTGTTTGTGTCAGTCTGTGCATGTGTCCAGATGTGTGCATGTATCAGTGCTAATGTGTATCGATATCTGTGAATGTATGTCATACATCCAAGCAATCAAACACAACATGCAAACACACCCCTGCAAACACAAACGTTACATACAAACACGCCCCTGAATTCAAACTCAAAAAGTATATAGAAACACACCCCTTCACTCTAACACCAATACTACACCGTACATGCACACACATACTCTATACAACAACATGCTCACATTCAAATTTACAAACACTGCTCACAAATACAGTCCTGCAAGAATGACCAAATGGTAGATCCCCAACTGGCATAGCATCGTGGGAATTGTACAACAGATGAGGATCTATCTTTTCTCCATTATTGTGTTAGATGGGAGGCCCCAAAAATGTCTTGCACCTGGGCCTTCTCTACATTAGTTATGCCACTGTATTGGGGTGGAGGGCATGACTGCATGC